TGGCCCAAACTCCAGACAGCTTCCTTGGTTACCAAGGGTTTCACCTAGATATCATCTGAAGCCTCCGCAGTTCAATGCATGAGTGGGTGTATGTTGGGTGGCACAAAATGGTGCTATGTTAAAAGGTCCCTCACAACCTGGCCCTCTCACCTTTAGCAAGCTCAGGAATCTGTGTTGTCTATGTATTAGTTAATGTCGCTTCCGTGATGACGATAAATACAGAACCAGGAATAACTCAAATTCGGCCCTCAAGGGACTCGTCATTTATCCGGAACGTACCGAACTAAACAGACATACATAATAATTTATGTCTCATACCCACGCATTGCTATCGGATAATGGCGCAAAAATTCTTCTTGTCTCGACCTCAACCAGTTTTCCAAACCGGTTTTTCATGATTCTTCTCTTCTCTTCTGGCTCGCCATAACTGCATCCGTCCGTGGCGCTAGTCTCTCTGTCCTTCTCCTCCTTTTCCTTCCCGCCCTCACTGTCAGTCATACTACTATTGACGATCCTCTCGTTTTGGCTGCAAAAGTTTATTATATCAATAGGAAGAAGACAGGTGAACCCCCCCCCCCTCTCTTCACTGCTTTTGTGTGGCCTTCATCGCCATAGGAAAGAGAAGAAGAATTGCCGTTCGATATCTTCTTCTTCTGAGTACCCTGCTTTTAGCAGCTGATGACAACCTGTGACGTTTTTACTGTGAGCTCAGGGAGAGGGGGTAGGAGCAACTTCTACGCCACACTAACGCTGCCTGATGCTGAAATTGACCAACTATGGCCGTCTGGTGTTTTGTCTCTTTCCAGCCCGCAAGGCCTGTTGAACGCAGTGTTTTTCTACAATGGGCCGAAATTTCTTGCTTCGTGGAGGAACAACACAGGGAGCTGAGTTGTCTCAGGTTAATAATAGTACTCCCCTGAAGGAGAGTGTGTTACACTTACACAGATGATGTTTCGAAATCAAAGGGGCGGTGTTTGGTAGCCCGATCTCCTCGTCCGTCATTCAAAGATGAAGATATGGTGATGCGTTCTCATATTTTTTACTTACGTCCGTTGCTAAGGTTCCAGTTAGTCTTTCTACACCTTGGTTCACTTCAGTAGCTATTGGCAAAACTCTATGCAAAATGGTTTAGACAATGTGCAACAAGCCTCAATCTCGGGGAGATAACAATATTCCCTTCGGGAAAGCAGGAGTGCCTGAAAGTCACCCAGACTGCATTGGGCACGTTCTATTGATTGGCTTCGCAACTATGAAGAATCTCATAGGAATAGGTGCAACTGTATGCAAATTTTGTCATGTAGAACTCGCCAGATCTGCTACTCCTGCTGTTGCGTAAGAACGACATGCGTTTGCCGTACAGAACATATGCACATCATGTATGCCCAGTGTATCGCCTCAGCTGCCTTTTGCTCTTTTTCTGGTGGCAGTCATGCATAACATTGTCTCCAGGACCACAGAAATTAGTATTTCCCTTTTGGAGTGTAAACTGTTCTTTTAGTAGTGTAAACTGCCTCACAGGAAGTTGATCTAGACCACAATGGCGGTTTACCCTGATATAGTGGGTGTGGGGGGCGACTTTTTATCCCACAAATGACGACATAATGGCTGCTATCTTACACCAGAGATGTCTCAAGATGAAGTGCATAATCATTCTCCAATGTATCTGTCCTCCAACTTTTGCTGGTGTGCCAGCCTGTTTGGAGAGCGCCAGGCCGACATCCTTGTGGCAGTACCGAGGGCAAGGGGTCAGAGCCCACAGATACACTGATAGTCAAGAACAAGGCTGGAGCACGCCCTTAGATTCCCGCTCAGCAAAGGATTGGTGTATAACCCCTCAAGATCACGCCAAATCACCAAGGACAAGAGTGGGCAGACCCCAGAGATGTTCAACGTTCAGCGCCTGTCGCTAGGGCAAAGCTCTTTAATGGCGGGCATGGGGACTGGAGTTTGACAGGTAGAGGAAGGGATGAGCACGTCCTTTCGCCCTCACCTTCGAGACCACGGTGGTGATGGTCACGATGGAAAGCGAAGGTCGATGCAGTCGAGCGAGCGACTCACAATCCCAGCAGGATGCACCACCTGAGAACTGACAACTACTACTACTTCGACACTCCAGTGGCGTTCTCTGCGACTGACGCAGGGAGGAAGAAGAAACTAGGCAGCGAATGGTTCGTGAGTACGAGTTGCTAGGCCCGCGAAAGAGTGCATGCACTGCACTGCACTTGACTGCACTGCAAAAGCCACTCTGCAGGCCAGGACATTCACATCGAGCGCAGGCGCTGATAGATCAACAAATTATATACCCACAGATGCGAAGCTCTATGGTGTTTTCCCAGTTGGATTCCCCGTAAAGTACTGCCTTGAATGCCCGTCTAGTGCGTGCCCAAAGAAGGTTTGATCGTGGTGCCACTTTACCGGGACGAGACCTGCATAGTGGTGTCACACGCAGTAGTAAATACGTGCACATGGGACGAGTGTCTATATGCGGAAGGGCACACAGTCCATTCGCATGACAAACGCAACCGCACACAGCAACAAACGTGTTCTCACGTGGAGACGAAAACATCGCACTCAAGAGTTTGGTTTTTACTCACTCTGTCACAACAAAACAGCCATGTTAATGAGGTGAGGTTACTCCATTTATAGTGTCCCATAGCAATGAAGTAGAAATGGCTTTCTGGTCCTCCCTGACTGAGATCACCTGGGTACACAATACAAAGTTAAACATATAACAAACGGGAGGCACAACATGCCACCCACAAGTTGCAGTAATGATCCAGCAAAGGACATCCGACAAGAAGCCAAGTTGTAATTCACACTCGCGCGCATATGCGCAGCGGAGGGGTACAGCAGTTGGTTTGTCTGTCTGTCTTTGTCTGTTGTCTGTCCATGCTCCAACTGACTTTTCGATGGTTTATTCGTCCCACAAACGATACGACGTAATAAACGGGTATAAGGATCAGTTTAATCGAACGGTTTTTCCTGAAATGACTGCGTTCGAGAGCGACAAACTGGCACCGTCGCGGACCGTGTTCCGTGGCCCAACCCATCAATAAGCGGTGCGCATGCGTATATTAGACGCGATCAACGCGGCTCACCCCGACTGATCCGCTTGCTCTGTGTACCTTGGAGGCACAAGAAACCACAGCGAAGGGCGTGTATCGACTCCCGCATGCTATCTACTACCGTAGCTAGCCTTTGTCACACTCTCCGCGAGCTACTAGCGGGAGACTGCGGGTCCGTCCATTAGCGGTACCGCGCATGCGCAGTTCGCCGAGGGTTTGCACTTCAGTGCTTTTCATTCATTATTAACTCATTCCGCTCCGCGAATTGGGCACGCACAGACACGCCCCAGCTCCTAGTTTTTAGATAAAATTGCGTCGTGTTTTGCGCGGGTGGGTCTGGAGCGCCCGCTGTGGGTCGAGAGTGAACAGGACGGCACTATCTTGCCATGGAAGTAAGAAGCTACACCTTCGAGGGACCAAACAATCACGGTCTTGCCTTGTATGGCGCTGGATGTGGGACTAACAACTGGATGACACCGCAGGTTAGTACGCACGCACCCGCTAAGTCTGTACCAGTAGTTTTGTGGCTGTAATGGTTATTCGGTTGATCAGAAGAGCTTAGCAATATTTTACAGTCATCTGTAGAAGTACAACAAAAGAAATAAACACATTCAGCCCCCAATTCTGTTGTAAAGCCTCTGCAACTGAATTGTGGCTGAATGCGTTTACTTTGTGTGTTGTGCATCTTGCAGACGGACATACAGCTCAGATTTTCTTCGAAATCTGGGGAGAATGTCTATGCTTTGCTTGAATAGCGTTTTTAGCTCAGGATTGGTGCGTTGTTACATATTGTTTTATGCTGTCATATGTAACACTGCATTCCATTCCTGTCATGTGTGTATAACTTGCTGTTCATACTGCTAAATGAAAGTAATAGTCTATTAGTAGTTTTGTCATGTACTTCTCGAAGCAAATTGTTGGGCACAAGGTCGGAGAAGAGGAGCAAGTCTTGCAGAAGTAGTTGCTGCGGTGTCTCTTCTTGCTGCGGTCACTGCAGACGACACATTCCTGCATAAGTTCTCTCTTCCCAAGCAGGTGGAGCAGTCCATTGAGACGCTCTGGATCATGTCCTGTCGAGGAATGCAGCCGTTTTCGTGGACGGCCTGGAAGAGGACGAGCAGGAACTGCCTGGACGTGACGTGAGGCCAACGACTCAATGAGCTTCCGTCTGAATTGAAGGTGTGTGAGAGGTTTTATACGTAGACGTGCAGCATGCGCTTGGTAGAGAACATAACTGTTCACTGCTGTCACTTTTAGTAGGCAAAAAAAAAAAATTCTCCACCACTTGCGTGTCTTGCGGATGAACCTGTAGTATACACTGTTCTGGTCTGCTGTATCTACCTCATTCATTGAGTGATTGTATTCATTGACTACCACAGGCTTCTCTACCGTCTGCCTCACACGTACTGTAGTCATTTGTGCTGAGCTCTGTGTGGAAAGCATTACTAGGCTTTTCGTCTTTGTTGGTGCTCTCCACTCAAGTGCTAAGTAGCGATCTGCTCTGTACGCCTTGACTTCGTTGTCCGCGAGACGTAATGCCCTATGTATATCGTCAGGGAGATTGACGCGGTTGCGTTCTGCAGTACCAGTGAAGGAGGTCAATCGCTGTTCCAATGCATTTGCAAGAGGAATGCTCGTGTAGTACCTATCGGTGTACACATGGTAGCCCTTGTCTAGGTAAGGTTGAAGGAGATGTAGCACAACCCGTCCAGGTTGAGGTAGAGTATTGTAGTTGGGGTCTGTCTCATCAAGTGTGTCGGCACCAGTGTACACCAAGATGTTGAGCATGTACCCGCTAGCACTATCAGCTAGTGTAAATGCCTTGATCCCATACTTCTCGGGCTTGTTTGAGATATACTTCAGGGCTCCGAATCTACCACGATGCCCAACCATTGTCTCATCACCTGAGATCTTGCGGGAAGGACAGACGAAGGAGTGGTTTGGAACTGGAGGAGCAGTGGATCAAGGAAGGGTTTTACCATGTCGATTCGTCTGGGTGGCATCCCGTCCCTCTCGCAGCTGACGTGGAGAAGCCAGAAGATGTTCATGAATCTTCTCCGAGGCATGATGTGGGAAAAGAATGGGACATGAGTTATCCAGTAGTGCTCCAGTAGTCCTGGATTTCAGGCACTAGACCCATGTTGAGGACGATCCCCAAAAACCCTTCCATCTCAGATGGACTCACTCGTTCCCACTGGGCTAGAGCTGAGTGTGGACGGAGAAGACCCTCTTCACTTATGAACACATGTTTGTGTGAGGTTTTATGTGAAATTTCATTACCGATTTGTCTCTGTCACAATCAGGTTGATTAGAGAGTCATTCAACAGCAGCCGCAGGAAGTCTATTGGCACACTGTCGTTTGACATCTGATGTGTGGGGCCTACATCCTCACTGAAAGCATACTCTGCAGGTGCCGTATCACAGGCTGGGTCTACTTGCTGCCACAGTAGAGGAGTGGTGGTGGAGGCCTGTCGTGGCCTTCTCCGCGATTGATCTACAGTATTTGTATTATATATGTATCTTTGCTTTTTTACTTGCACTATGTGCTTGCTGCATGCTGGGGGTGGAGGTGGAAGAGCTGCTAGCGGCGCTAGCAGAAGGGAGGGAGTGGCTCAGTGGAGTGGGGGAGGGGCTCGGTACTCTTGCAGGATGGAGCTCTTCTTCCGGCTCATCATCTTGTAGATGCAGGAACTCAGGATCTTCCTCTATATCGGACTCTCCGTCGTCTGCTAAGCCGCTGCTGTCAGTGACCATGGTCAACGCTTCGTCGGCAGTGTATCGCTCCAGGCCGGGTTCGCTGGTGTACATACGCATGCAAACAGCTGGCTTTGTGCGCGCTTGAGTAGCTGCCAGGTAAAAAAAGAAGCTAGCAAAGGTCACTCGCCAATACTTAACGTTGTGGCGACAGTTGACGAAGATCTACCTGAACTACTTGCGTGAAACGAACGTGAGTATTCCGGAGGCCATTATTTTGGCCCGTGGAGTTACGTGTGCTTGCGCATTAAAGTGGCCCGTGGAGTGGAATGAGTTAACACGCTATTAAATTCCTGGCAATCTTTTCATTGAGCTGCACATGAATATATGTGTACATAGGCCTACTGTATATCTAGCATCGGATGCAGCATTTACAGAGTAGCTATACAGATGTACACATGCGATTTTGGAGGTCAACGATTATGTACATGTATATGTTATACGATGGTGGTGCGTGGTCTACTGGTTGTACACGAGTGGCTAGTTATGATAGGGCATGACAGCGCAGCTGGAGTGGTTTATCAAAACTGAAGCCATGACTGTGTAACCAGCAAAGCCATCATACAACGTGTTCGTATGACGACATCCGGCGAAAAGGCTCTGACCAATGGGACTGTGCAAAAGCTTTCAAAACGCCCTCTTTTTAACGCACACCCTCAAGTGCGTGAAGAGAGCTACAGCAATCGGTCGGGAGAGAGACGGCTGCAATAAGCGCTTTAGTTTAGTCCAGCTGGGTGGTTATGCAGAAGCCACGGTCATTTCTCGAGAGTTCAACATTACGGGTATGTACTTCAAAGCCATTCTTTTTCACTGTAAGACCCCACGCGAATGTTTTGTAGCTGCTACTCTAGTTCACTATCTCTCCCGCTATACCCAGTGCTCTCGAATGCAGCCTGTTGCAGTAGCAAGAACGCTGAAAGTCACCGAATACAGTTCCAGTCCACGGGAGCGTACGCGTTGGGAAGCAGCTTTCACTAGTTTCATACACTAGAGCACTTTCTGGCCATTTCAGCCAGAAGGCTTCTGGTAAATTAAGAAACAGCAGCACACAAAGTGTGTAAAAACCTCTGCTGCCAATTTCCTACTATCATCTAACTACCACACACCTACTGTGGTTTATGCAAATGAGTTGACATACATTACGGCTCAAGCGGAACCTGGATGCGAGTTGCTAATTACTCACGAGGGAGAGGGCTCGAGCGCGCGGTGACGCTCGAGTGCTAGTGCGTAACGACCTATAGACGGGTGCGTAACTGCAATGCGCCCTTAGAGTATACCCGGCTTACAATACGGCAGGTCGGTCCGTCCGTCGATCACACGTCCATGATAAACGGATGCGAAGCGGGAGCGACCCAACTAGGGATTTGCCCGCTTTCGGGCTGCATAACGTGTTGTCGGCGAACAGTTAAACAAGACAGAGCTGTTGCCGTTACGTGCGTACTGCCTTTTTTTGCCAGAACGGTGAGCAGGTGAGCAGAGCGGTACTTACCTTACGCTTTCAGCTCGTCTGTCGTGATCCACAAGGCAGCTGGCGATAGGCTAGGCAGCGAACGATCGATCGACCGGGGCTAAGCAACCACGCGCGGCGTGTATATGTACGTACGTGTGTATACACACAATTGCGAAATCGTCGAGTGCGGTTTTCGAGTGCTAGTGCTCGAGGGCATGGGCACTCGCAAGGAAAATTGTGGAGGGCGCGCCCCTCGACTCGCGAGTGCGAGGCCTCGTACACGGCCGTTTCCCGCAATGCGCGCCCGGACATTAAGATACGCCCCCCAAAAAATAAAAACGTCATTGTTACGCATGGCAACGGGCTTCCGCGTGCGGCTTCCGCGTGCGGCTTCCGCGTGCGACTTCCGCTACGTTACTAGCGGCCTTTTGAGGTATGCGCGTGCGTATAGAACATGCGCAAGTGGGGAACTCGGACTCTTCCCAGTGCGAGCCACGAGACGGTCCAAAAATCACAACCGTCCGATGAACTATACCTGAGATACGTTCCCAATCATGAACTGGAGACTTTCGCTCGTACATAGCTGTGTTTTTCAAGTCCAGAAGTGCTTCGGCCAGCGAGGAAGCTGCCATCACAATGAACTACCCGCTACTTTCCAAGAACTGTGGGAAGTATGATGATACTTATTTTTTGTGCCACGGTAGATGCCACCCAATTGGGACGTGTTATTTAGTTGTTTTATTACGTGTGTGATGCTTGGGAAGGGACCTGTAGTAAACTATAGGGTACAGAGAGAGTGGAGTTGGTTTAGTTGGCCTCTTCACTTGGCCGTTGTCTCTTCCGTGGTGCAGGGCGCAGGCTGTTCAGCCCTGGTGTCGACTCCACGTTGTGCTCCTGCACAATGTACCGAAGTCTCTCCAGTGGATTCACGATCCCTTGGTACTGCGTCTCCAGCTTTGAGATATGAGCATGTATACTCTCCGCCCCTTGCTCGCCCATTAGCCCTGCCCCCATGTGCCACCGCCGCATCCATGGCACGACGTGGTCTTCAAGGATGTGCATCTTGGGGAGCACCGTTGCAGTGGGAAACTCCTCCCTGTACCGCTCCATGAAGGCTGCTATGTCTCTCTCTGAAATATAGCAATTTAAAGAGAGTGTACCATTCGAATTTCTCTGTTACCAAGTCGATCAATGGCGATGTCGTCCACAACCCCTCCATTGAACACATTGTGGCACTTGGCATACTGGGTAAGTACCTCAGTAAAGCGCTTGTATGTGTCCTTGGCCTTTTGTAACAGTTCAGGGCACTTCTCTTCAGCTATGGCCACAATACCAGAGCACAACACATCAGCAGATTCTTCCTAAAGGTGAACATAGTGTTAGGTTTATCCATTTATATATGCGTGTGTGTGTATACCTTGAGTAGTTTATGCACATGATTCCCGACGAAAGTGCCCCCATGGTAAGCTTGGCGTTGCACATGTAGCTTCGCTAATGCAGCATCTAGGGACTTGAAACAGGGACCGTCTTTGTGTTTAAACCGTTCGGCCAACACCCGGTTCAGTGCAGTTACCTCAGCAGCCTGCAACAGACATTGAAGGATGGAGGTATCCAGAATGCTATTGCTATGCCATTTACTAGCTCTTCAGCTTCTTTCTTGGCAGCTGATGCTTCCTGCTCTATCTGCCGAACAAGAGGGCTCTGCCCAGATCCTGGCATTGAGAGCAGAAAGTGTGTAGCCAACTGGCCATACAGTGTTGCCCTCTGCTGAGCTGATTCCTGCTGCTCCTTCACCCTAGCCAAGTCTCCCAGAGCCTTCACATGCTGTTGGTATGTTGGCCCTCCAATCCCTTCTCCAGCTGCCCTTGCCGCCATCTCCAGGTCAAGATCCTGGCATGCCCTCTCCAGCAGGTTGAACAGGCGATTGAAGATGCCAAGTGACATGTGGAGCCCAGGAATACAGACCTAACAGTGAGTTATTGAGCTAATACCAATACAGTGGTGTATGTACTGAACCTTCTCCAGAGGTATTGGGAAGAAAACCTCGCCAATCACATTGTTGAATTCTTTCGCCTGTTTGAGGTATGCTCCTGCACTAACAAACCTCTGGTGGTCCCCTTTTAGGCTCTGAAGAGAGCGCAATGGGCTATGGCCACGTGTGCTCAGAGGGACTTTGAGCTGATTGCTGCGGATAGTACACCACAAACAACAGTGTCGCCCTTAGGATGGATAAGAATGTTCATTATTATTGTGTATGATTTCGGGACAGATCATACCAGATGCTCCAGAAAGTCCATACATCACACACAAAAACTCATAGTCCCCCGTGAAGAAGACTTGTATTGCCCACTCTCTGTATGTTTAGAATTGTGATTTTATTATCTCTAACACTAGCATTACGAACCTCCATTTCATTCCCTGAATCTCAAAGATTTGTTCCCTGTACTGATCAAGGGCAGTGTGCAGGTTGGTGGTGCTATCTCCAGCTTGGAAGACAGCAAGGAGGGATGTGTTGCGGGTGGAGTTTGGTTTGCTGACATTGACCACTTGCATGTTCAGCTTGAAGCTTCCTCGGCCCTTATCACCTCCGATCTTAATCCAGACTTCAGAGGAAGGTATTGTGCTGTCATGCCATGTTAGACCACTGCCAGACCTATCACGTAAGTATCAAGGTAGAGTTTTACTTAAAACTTGATCCTTACTGCAGGTGTTGGTTCAAGGTGTCTGAGACTCTAGCTATCAGGTTTGGGACATAGACGAAAGGCGCTTCGTGTACCTCTGCTCCCCTTCCTTCAGCAGGGAAAGTGAAGGGTACCATCTCAGCTGCTATGTTGTCCCCTACAGTCTCCTTGGCTAGAGAACGCTGCTTTCTCTCACTGGCCAGCGATATATGGAACATCTTCAACCATCTATGTATTTACATACATTCCAAGGGTAAGCGACTATTATTGTAGTTTAACCTACCGTCTCAGAGTGCGCAGTTTGTTCCATGAGATGGAGAGGTTTGCCTTCATGGCTAGGGAGTGGTCTGCGGGGATCTCAATCGGAAGACAAGCCTCCTGTAAGAGTTGTTGTCGTTCGCTCTTGGATAGGACTTTTAGCTCCTCCTCCAACCCTACTCCCAGTGTGTCCCTCAGCCCCTGAACCTGCCGTACCCGACGCTGGACAGTCCGTGCACTAGCCTCAGAAGTGGAGACGATTGCGGTGGAAACCGGGAGAAGACTCAGTGGCTAAAGGAAGTGCATAACTCATTACAGACACCTCTGCCTATGGACGCAAGTTCTCACCTTTCCTCTTGTTGGAATTTTCACTACTTTATCTTCACTCTCTGTCATCAGCCGCCGTACTAGATGCTCTGCTAGTCTCCTTTCCACTGGTTGAGTTGGAGCAGTTACTGGCCTTGCGAGGATCTCCTGAGCACTAATCTGTGATGGTGATGGAACTTCATAATGGCCCTTGCACTGACTCGCTTTGTGCTGTTTCAACTGAGCAGCTGTGGTCTTCTGTTTGCAGGTACCGCATACCAACTTGAGGGCTCCCAAAAGCTCATACACCACAGCACTAGGCAGACCGATGGTGAGGTTGTCTAGTTCATGTGTGTAGCAGCCAGGACATGATGGTTTGGGAGAGAGTTCTATCCACCTGCAGCAACAGTGGGCACAAACTAATCTACCACAGGAAAGCTCGATGGGCTGCTTCAGGATGTCACAGCAGATGGGACAGAGGAGGTTCGCCACATGTTCTGGTAGATACTCTACCTCGTCTGTGGAGTCGACATAGGAGGGTTGGTTGTGCACTAGACATCGAATGTGTGCAATAGTGGCTGAAGGGCTGCAACCACTAGGACGACCTCTATTCTTCCGTGCTAGCTTGTTTTGTCCTCCTCCTTTTGTGATGATATCCACATGCTCACATACCTATGTAATATAATTATTAATATCATTGCGCTATTGCCCACTTTACACATACTGTGCAATCTCCCGCAGTGTGTTTTATCCAGCAAAATGCATCAATGGAGTGATGGTATGGTATCCCCTTTGAGGCAGCAGTAGATTGCCTCTTCATGGCGGCAAAGCATCTGTTGCAGAACAACTCCGGGTGGACATCAGGGTCATCAGTCCCAACAGAAATGCCAAATGAAGCCTCTAGCCCTTCTGTGTTGTTGGTGCATTTGTGTACAGGAGCCCTTTTCTTGGCTCTCTGCAGCCTTCCTCCACATACACGACAAAGAATGTGGAGTTGGTGCACATCTGCCATTGCCAGACACTTCTATTTTGTGTGTGTGTAGCTGGCTCTAAAAAATAAGTATCATTTAGATCCCTATATTATTGAATACTTCCACTCTTACCTGGTCTATTGTATTACAATTATCAATAGAAAGCGCTTCCTGAACTGAGATATGGCTTCCACTACGCCGGTACTCTTGCGCGTCTTTGCCGCGGAATGTTCATTTGACCGCTGCGCAGTAGTATACGTACTGCAAAAGCAGCTGCGCAAGTAACTAAGGGTTGTCATGGATGATAGAACAACATAGTAAACACATTAGGCAGTGCATTGTATGGTCTCTGGACGGCCAACGGTCTCCAGAAGGTACCACTTCTTTTTCAAAACGGAGGGGGGCGTGTCCAATTGCGTTCCGGGGGCGGCACGCGCACATTTCCAATTTTTTCTTCGCTGCGTGCGTTGAAACAGCCGTGGTGGAGATATACGTCCGTTTCCTCCAGACCATGCACATCAAAGAAATAGTGCAGCCGACTTATCACGGCGTTGGCTCCCTTTTCCACTTCTCCTGACTCATCAGTGAGGAAGTTTACCTGGCGAGGTATAGCTTCGCAGTGTACTCCGAACACTGAGCACTTCCTCGGAGTAAGGAAGTAGATGGGACCTGGCTGCATGGGGTCGCAGGGGGGCGTGTCCAATTGCGTTCCGGGGGGCGGCACGCGCACATTTCCAATTTTTTCTTCCTGCGTGCGTTGAAACAGCCGTGGTGGAGATATACGTCCGTTTCCTCCAGACCATGCACATCAAAGAAATAGTGCAGCCGACTTATCACGGCGTTGGCTCCCTTTTCCACTTCTCCTGACTCATCAGTGAGGAAGTTTACCTGGCGAGGTATAGCTTCGCAGTGTACTCCGAACACTGAGCACTTCCTCGGAGTAAGGAAGTAGATGGGACCTGGCTGCATGGGGTCGCAGGGGAAGTGGACCTATGATAGGAAAAGGGTGAAGTTTGTTGCTTTTGAGATGCAATCATACTTTTCTGTATCATTATGACAAACCTGCACGCATGGGCTAAATGAGGAACTGGGCAGGCATAGGGGGAGGGAGGGGGTGAAAGAGTGCCTGTTGTGTGATGATGAGTGTGAAAGTGTGAGTCATGTGTTGTGGGAGTGTCCAGCATATAGTAGTCTTAGGAGCAATTTCTTAGTTGCCCTGCAGGGGAAGCTTGGGGATGATGGGTTTGAGCATTTCCAGTCGCTTGATAGTTTCAGGAAAGCATCCTTTATATTGGGCAGTGAACTGTGGGAGGATAATTTTGGTTCTTTGCTTGGCCTTGTTAAAGATTTTATTTTGGATGTTTGGGAGCTAAGAAAGGTTAGGTTATACGGCGATAGTCCCTGTGTACAACAAACCCAGTCTCAGATTGCGTCTGGGGAGCTGCAGGGTGTCGCTGGTGGAAGGGGTGAGTTGAGGTGTCTGGGAGGTGAGACAGACACCTCATGTTCATATGGTGTATGTTCACTTGTTAAAGTTTCCGCCCATTGCTCTGGGTGCGTGGTCTATGGCCCTAGTGCTATGGCAGCCACCTGAGTATTATTATTATTATGACAAACCTGCTGTGCACAGTCAAAGCTTTAGTGGACTTTGATGTTGTTGGAGTTGGGGGGGGCGGGGATGTGGCTGAAAAGGAGGAGGGGGAGAGAAAGAAGTATGGTTCTGGAAGTGGGCTTTCACGGATCTGGAGCAATCTTCGCAGGAGGCGGTGAAAAATGATCGCTCCATCTGGACGATGTGCAGATGCTCCTGTGCAGACAGTACTGCATCTGACTTCTCTTCCTCTGAGAGGTTGGCAGAATGCTGCATGGCTGTGCTCGCCTTTTGACACTGCCCAGCAGAGGTCGGTCATGGGGTTCATCAGGATCACAAGTGGTAGGAGGCATCGCCAAAGGTTGGTGAATGTGGAATAGCCTACTACACGCATTGAATCACTCCTCGCGGCTTCCTGGTACACCTCCAAATCCACGTTTCGAAACTGACGAGGGAAGAAGCTTGATATCCGAACTGCTGTATCCTGGCACTCCAGGCAGTAAAAGAGAATTCTGCTCAGGGTAGTTGAGGAGAAATCTAACTACGAACTCAGTAGAGGAAAACGACAGAGCGTGAGCTGGACTGCGCTTTGTATTCCCGTGAGAATCCTTGTGACTGAAGACTCTTCTTCAGGTTCTTGTACATAGCGGGTGTCACCGATGGTGTGAAGAAACCTTAACATCTTCTCGCAGATCTGTTTCCCCTGGTGGTGAAAACAGCAGGCCGCTCTCTGACGATCCTTCACCCTCTGTTGTGACATTGATTTGGTGGTGGCGTCATTGCAGCCATCAGCTGGCACATCACAACCATGTCAAGCTCAGAGCAAGTGAGCTCAAAGCAAGATGCTCGCACCGACATGAGATGGTCAGTGGAGAACAAGGTTTGGACCCAATCCCTTTCTTGCAACCAAATGTCGATTCCACCAGGGTTGTGACAGTTGCCCGCTCATCAACATTCACTTGCTGTTCCTCGATTCCCACGTCAGCCTCTACCGATCCCACCTGTGTCATCACCTCGTGTATCCTCTCTTCCACATCACCTTAGTATCCTTGCTGAACTTCCTTATGATCGCCATCCTCACTAAGTGGCTGGGACTCTGCAAAATAATTATGGTGCTATTTTAGCGTTTCGTTGATTTTATTTCTCACCACGATTTTGATTACAATTACCGGTGACATCCAGTTCGCTGTCGTTGTCACTGTCTGAATCGACTGAGCTTTGAGTTGAAGGCATAGTAAAATACTCTTCAATCACATCAAGGAGGGAAGCTTGATCTGTCTCCTCAAGGTGGAGCAGGCCATTGATTGATGAGGCAATGTCAGAAGACTTAGAAGAAGCCATTTCTGTGCATTCGCGCACATTCATTGATTGTTGCTAGGTAACCCGCGCAAGGGGATTTCCCGTTTACGTAACTTCGCAAACGGTTTGATTATTTTCCGTGTCGTTTCCTTGTAATTCTGCGTTACGCAGTGTGCGAGTAGCGTACTTGCCTGATACTCGGGGCTATAACTATGGAACGGAAACGGAGTTAGTGCTGTTAAACTTGCGCAAGACTGGAGGTACAAGAATACAGAAAAAACCGGAAAACGATAACGCGACCGTGTTTGCCATAAAACTGCCGCTACTGCAGTAATACTACGCGCACAACAAGGGTCGTTATCTCAGAGCCTGTCACAAATACAGAATAGAGTGTGGGATAGCACGTGCTGCAGCACACATGTAAACATTGTGTGTTAACTGGCCTAAGAAAGTGAAAACTAGTGTGGAGCTGTATGTGCCGCAAAGATGATAGAATCTGTCGTGCCAAGGCGCTGGCCCCGCCCGTTTCCAGACACCCACTATTGCATACCCATAGTCAGTTTCAATTAGTGGCTTCTTCAGAGGACGTAACAATTTTGAGTAAAGAGGCGGGCGCCTGGGAACGAGGCTACGTTAATTACTTGGTATGACTGGCAAGCTGCCTTAATAACTTAATCATAGGAAACAAATCAAGTGTTCATACACTAATTGCATTGCTTGTTAATTACATTGGAAATCCATATTATACTAAGATGCCAAAGATGCATGAATTTTCATGGCAAAAGGGATAACAGTGTATGTTTCATTTACAGCAGATTCTATAGAAGGTCAATCAATATAACAGTAAAAATTCGTTCACTGGAATTACGGAAAAGTCAAGGAGTTTCACATATGTTACAAATCATGGACAAAGTTCTACTAGTGCAAGGGGAGTAAATATCACACTCTTCGATGAATCAAAAAGGTACGTGTCGCTAGTATTGGAAACTCACTAGGTCAAAGAGATTCGGTCGTGATTGATTTCCGATGTGAAGAAGGTCTCTAAATCCTTTTGTTATGACAAGAGCAATCTTCTCACCCTTTCGTTCCAGCAAGGCATTGGTGGCAATAGTGGTACCCATACGTATCCATTCTATGGGTGAAGAGTCAATCAGTTCATCTTTTGGAAGGCAGATATTAGTTTCCTGCAAACAACAATAAAAAATGGGGTTTAAAAAACAAGAGTGTACATTGCAAGCAGAAAATGCCAACGCATTTTTTTACCCTCGGCACGCATGCGCGGTGAGGGTTACGGTACTTGGTTTGTGAGTATGTCTATCCGTCTGTCTGTTGTGACATGTGCTAGAAGTAGCTACACTGTGCATATGCTGCAGTAATATTTTTGTATGTCTTCTTATTCCACATGGTTACATGTACAGTGTATGCCTGACGACAATCTTTCCAAACATTCACAGATGGGCCAAATAATCAGTTAGAAGGATAATATTAAGTGAATAGTGATGGGTGAAGAATAAAGGAGGCAAAATCAAAAAATAGATGAGTGTGATTGGAAATTTAATGAGGTGTACAATTGGGTCAGCACAAATAATCAGTTGATATGTGACAAGTGATGGGTGAGGAATAAGTATAGAAGGCAAAATAAAGAAACAGATTATATGTGATTAGAACATGCTGAACAACATACGATGTATTAATTCTTGAAAACCAGTCTCTTTACTCTGAGCTTGGAGCAAACCTTCCCCAGGCTCTCCAAGCATTTCTTCCACACAATCTCCATCTCATGGTCACCCATTAAACCCACTCACCAACAAAATATATATTTGATGTAGGCCAACTTCTCGTGGTTGAGCTGGTCGAGTTGTTATGGCCACTTAGTGAGGAGCGTTGAACTTGTATGCATCTCTACTGTGTTCTCTTGAACCTGTGTGCATCTGTACTGTGTTCTCTTGAACCTGTGTGCATCTGTACTGTGTTCTCTTGAACCTGTGTCCATCTCAACTGTGTTCTCTTGAACCTGTGTGCATCTCCACTGTGTTTTCTTGAACCTGTATGCATCTCTACTGTGTTGATATTTGCATTCCCTACTGTATGCATCTCTACTGTGTTGGTATTTGTATTCTCTACTGTGTGCATCTCTACTGTGTTGATATTTGTATTCTCTACTGTGTTCATATTGTTCATTTTGCTTTTGTTCATACATGTAGTACACCCATCACCAAGTGAAAGAAGTGGAGAAACTTAGGACAGAAGTGAAAGAAGTGAGGGAAGAATTGAAGAACGTTACCAATTGGAATCAGATGTCAAAAGGCTAAAAACAAACAACTCAGACACGTGGTTCGACTGCATCGAACCACGTCCAACCTCCTAGAACAACTCCTTTGCAGAGTTAAAAAGGCATGCTAGAACAAAACAAAATTGAGAGCTCACATTGTTGGCTCTACATTGGAGTGCTTCAAGGAGGTTCGACGTGGTTCAATGCGGTCGAACCACCCGGAACAAGCGCACAACCACCGGGCACACCCTGTATGTGTCTGTTACGTTTTCTGCCACCAAACCGGCCAAAAAGCGACACATTTAAAATGGCAACTTTCGTAAAGAGACTGTGATGGCGTGAAAACCAAGTGAACAAGCCAATATGCTTATTAGCACAGGCTTACCTTGACCGGGTCTGCTTGCTCTGTGTATCTTCAAGGCACAAGAAGTCACAGCGAAAGTCGTGTATCGACTCCTGCATGCTATCTACTACAGACCATCCGCGAGCTACTAGCGGGAGACGAGTAAATGTATACTAAAAGCCCAGCCAATCAATTAGTGGTACCGAGCATGCGCAATTGGCCGAGGGATTGCACTTTAGTGCTCTTCATCTATTCTATTTTCCAGGGAATACAGGATGGAGGAATCCCAATGATGATTACCATGCTATTCTGAGGGACTTAATTAACAGGCAGAAATTATGATCGTGTAAATTTACTGAACGAAACAAGTCAGTCTATCAGAATGCCTCCCTAGACTGCAATACATTACCATGCCAGAATGGATTAGCGTGCCAGAATACAGTATACAATGGCTCACAGAGTGAGGTATATTCAGCGTGCGAGAATGCCTCGATAGCCCAATACAATAGCGTGCGGGCTAGATAGACATTAGTACGTGACAAATTGGCTCGATTACATTAGTGTCCCAGAATGGCTCAGTAAACTGCACTAAATTAGTGTGTCTGCGATAGACTAAGAATGGCAGATACACTTCATGTGCCAAAATAGCTCCACAGACATTATCAAGTCAGGATTACACTATGGCATGACGGTCTGATGATTGACCGCTGTAATGCAAACGGTTTCTACACACTATGCTGCAGGCAAAGTATTATTAATTTGTTAATAATTATATTGAGGCCAGCTCAACCGGCTGAGCCATTCTGGCACGCTACACAACCTACATGTATGTAGCTTCGTTTTCCTGAGGTAGACATATGACCCAGGGTCATCCCCTTTCTCCCGTAACACTAGCTTCGTTCCTAGGCCTTCCGCGAGAGGGAGAAGGCCTGGTCCACACTGTTCGCGCATGCGCCAAATACGTCACACAAAAATTTGGGCGTGTCCAATATGCACATGGCGATTAAGTCCCACAGGCAGTGTTGTTAAACGGCAAGTCGTTTATAGATGTGAGGTCTGCGCATTTCATGTGGCGCCGTAGTGATGCTCTGCAGTTGGTCGAGCGGTAGCATGACCCGGAGATCCCCGAATGTGATATAGAAATTCCTGAATGTGATTATAGAAATTCCCGGAAAGTTGGGAATATTCGGCGCATGCAAGTGAAGTAAAGTTGGAAGATACCCTTGAAATCAAAAGGATCGATAAAAGGTAAGGTATGATTAGCTGAGTTACCACGTGTACGCTTTTAGTGCCGCGAATCACCCAGTACTCTTTTCTGCAACTCGCTAGGAATGTGGGGTGGTGGTGGGGTTCCACCACTTTTCAGTGAATACTTCAGAAGCTACATCTATTCACACTACATAACATGTCCGATTTTGGCTTGGCTTTGATGCAGTGGAACTGTTCATATCCGCCATACATTCTCTACTGGAGGAACTGATTGCATTGTGTGCAATCGATGACTTGTGTCCAACCTCCTCTAGTACGCGACACACGGTCAAAATGGTGGACCAGAAACCAAACTTGTACAACTTGGAGTGGTCTTAGTTACCAGATATCTCAACTCCGCTATGAAACGGAAATTTGGGCCTGCGATGATAGTCTACTCTTTGTGTACCGTATATAAGTAGTGTACGAGGAATGTGGGTATCTAGTAAGCGCCATACGCGCCTGAAACATTCTCTACGTTCTTTTGCAGGGTCTCTTAGTGAGCCAGGACAGATTAATTCAGCACAGATCAACTGCTATTGATTACCTAACATAGAGGGCACAAAAAACAAGCAAAATGATAACCTCTTCAAGAATCCTACGGATCGCTTCCGTTGGAGCATCTTTATAATTTCGAGGATCATCCGACAACAGCTTCAGAGCTCGCACTTTCCCGCTAGGACATTCCGCATAAACGTCAGTAAAGGTTCCTCCTCTGTCGATGGAAAACCTGAACATCCCGGCTGGCCACGTGGGTATTGGTTATTGCGGATGCGCATCTGGGTGTCTATATAGCGCCTTTTGACGCGCGTATGCGGAAAATATACAATTGCGTAGGGGTGAAAGGTCGACGGAGAACTGCGAAGGCAAGATCTGAGTCTTGAAGGGAGCTTTCTCACCGTCACTTGCCGCATCAGGCTACAGGACTGAGTGAGGTGATTATCATAAGTACTGAATATGAAAACCCACTGGACTGCTCTTCTATGTAGACTTGCTCGTCCGCGGAACGCTACACGTAATGGTCAAAGCTCCACTCCGTGTTTGTAACGTTCCGCGGACGCCGCGCATCAGCAAGTCTACATAGAAGAGCGCCTGCCGATGCTTGCGACACCACCAGCTCATTAAAACAACATCGGCCCGCAACGGCAGACGGCTGGCACGATATTCTAGCTCTACCGTTTTACAGGGCAGGGCATTTTTGGTGAGCGGGAGCGAGCAAACAATGACTGTATCTGCTATTTATAACCTGCACCTTGTAACCATGAAGACTAGAAAGTGGTACAGCCTTGGTAAGGTACCGAAGAGTGCAGCGAATGCGCCGAATGGACGAGAGTTCTCTCACTGGTTAGGTTTGCATCATATTGACATGACACACAGACAGTCAGCGTGAAATCATTTCGGATAAAAAGAAGCGCACATGACGCATGAGGAGTAGTGCGACCTACAGCCGTTTGGATGACCAAGGCCACGCCACTAGGTTAATGCGTAGCTGACGTACTGTGGCTTGCGGATGTCGCCGTAAAACCAACATTGCTCGAATGGAAGACGAGTCATGGGCCGGTTGAATGCCCTTTGGCTTGAGTATGTGCATGTGCCGACGACCGCGAGTGAAACCGGAATCTGGCTGGAGCAAGCCTCCAAGGGAGTCGTCGGCGCATGCGCCGGGGAACTGAGGGACTCCCCAAAATGCAACGCTCGCACAATCCTGCACCTCCCCTGCTGTTACGCAGCGCTGGAGCCCCCCCACAGAGGACATGCGAAGGCCCTTAGCTGGCCAGAATCGCGACGAGTGCTTGGTGGAAAGTTTTTGCCTCAGAAAATCCTCCACAGGCGTGCCGAACGACGCACAAGGGACGGCATGCCCTACAAGCACTCAACGACCTCCGAACCTCTGTCCTAACTTCCAGTCCCCGACGCAACATATATACCTAACATTACCCGCCTGCATTGCTAGGGAACATGTGTAATAACGATACACAGAGAGGATAGCATATTAAAATACTGCATGACATGAGGCCTAATGGCCTCTATGCAGTCTACTACTGTTGAGGAAGGCACAACGATACAAATGTCAGCGACCCTGGAGGCAGTCTGATGTATTGCTGATAGACCACGCTGCACCAACGGCCGAGGATCTTGATCAGTGGAGCGTCGATGCCGGCTGCTGCGGCGGTCGTCGCCGCACCAATCCTAAAACTGTGACCCGAGTAGATGGCCGGATCAACGCCGACGACAAAGAGAGCTGCTCGAGCCTCGGGGTACAAGCGCTTGTCTAGTCAGCAGGCGGCCGTCGCGGAAACGAAAGAGGGGGGCCTGGAGCTAGCCCACGCTCCGAGATGTGGCTTAGGAGAGCCGCGACGAGTACGATGACAGTATATATGTAGCTATAGTAAGTAGGTGATAATCCCTGCTGTCCTGGGGACTATATAGCTCATGGGTGACAGCGTGGAGGACGCGTTTATGAGGCCTGGTCTACAAAGACTGCGAAGGCCTGCACCCAGTTGGCTATGGACGATATTTGCCTCCTGCGGTGACAAAACACCTCGCAACCCGGGAACAACAGAAAGCGAGCTGATGGTAGGGATGGTGGTGACTAGTAGTGACGCTAGTGGAGGGAAGGAGCTCCGTGAGATCGGCGTACTCCCAGTTGCGAATTCTGCAAAGCAGACACTTCGGAAACCGCTGGCAACCAAGACCCGCCCTCCTGATCCCCTTGCAGGCATAAGGTGCCCCGCCAACGACTGAAGCATCCACGAAAGAATGCTACCATCCCCTGCCAAAGATGGGACATCATCGCAATGACACCCTCCTGCTCTAAATTGCGCGAGTGAGCAGAGCCCAAGATGGCCGCCGTGAGCTATGGAACGAAGCATCCATCTACGATTTACGAGACACTGGGCCAACAGTTGTTGACCGAGGAAGTGGCGAACTGAGGAGGGGACGCAGAATTCCGCGGCCCAGCCCACGCCGGGCAGCCCGGTCTATAGGGTTAGACGGGATGGACTCGGCAGCTGTGAGACGCCTACCTCGGAAGCAGCTTTCTTACTCACTCCCCCCACGTAGCAACGAACGCAGGAGCCGCAATTCAGAGGAACACTCGACCGAACCATACAGAGACTGGAAAAGGCGCGAAACCACTGCGCCCTGAACCCCAGAAGCATGTCTCGACGCGGATGAGAACATCCGCGACGAAGACGAAGTGTGGTAGATGCGGAGGAGACTGGAGCTACCGCACCCCTCACGCACTCTGGGGCGTACGATCAGCCGTGTTACCCTTGCCTAACTGTGTTAACGTTCGGAGCATGCACACGCGGAGGAGGGAGATGGCCTCATTACAAGAGGGAACAGAGCTCTGCGTCTGTCCCATCGCTTTCTGGTGAGGACAGGTCGAGGATTTGACGCCATTTACCTGGAGTACTCTTTGGTATCACTCCAAATCAACTGACCTGTACTTGCGGCAATGATGCAGGATCAAATGGGCCCAACATCCTCACCGCAGCGCAATCCTCAGCGATGTAGCCTCAGGCGATGTCTAGGTGCTCAAACGCCGATTTCTCTGTGAGTGGCAGTTGTGGTGCACCTATAATTGTAGCCTATCCAGAACCCTTCCTCAATACCCCTGACGATGTACTCCTTCTGTCTGGGGTCCGGGCACTCAGCCATACTGAGGCCCCACTCTCTCGCTTGTAGTGGTGATGGGTTTCCCGTCAGTGCTGGGGTACCATTGGGGCTGGCAATTTCGTCAACATACTGGGAATCTACAGATACAAAGCCGACCTGACAATTAGCAAACCCTCTTTAAAATGAAAAGCACTTGAAAGTGCATAACCCTCGCCACTTTATTCTTTATTTCAGCAGCCAATGGCTACTAGCTACACTACATCAGTTATTGCCACATGCGCGTTCAATACTATTTACTACTACAGCAAAGTGAAAAGCACTGGTCTTGACAACCCTCACCACTATTCAGTTAGATACTAGCTACACTACCTCAGTGACTCCTTCACTGAACGGATTCACTGGGGCGTGTGCTGCTCTCACTTCACCGGCAATCTCAATCCTACAACTCGATTCAACTGTACCATTGATACAGGCAGACCAGCATATCTTCTCCACACGCGCAAAGCATCTAGCATCTAAGTACGGTGACCGTTCGCGCGATCTCTATTGACGCACACTCACCTCGGCAGCCGTCCGTTTCACCAGCTTCCCCGGCCTTCTCCGCTCCAGAATCTAGTTGAAAATATGTCCACGTTTCACGCTCAGAGTTGCCGCGGTTACTGAGAAAAACGGTGGACAGACGGACGGACACATGCACACACACACACAGACCAACTGCAGTAACCCTCGCTGCGCATGCGCGCAGGCGATGGTTAATTACTTCAACACTACAGTACAATATAATCATCTACTGATACACATCGATGGCCTGTCCAGAGCTTGCCGCTGCCAACACTGCTGCTACCCCTGCTTTAGTAAGGGTAGCCCTGCAGCCGTTTTCCCGGGCGGATGGAGCCCGGCCCAGCCGGTGCCTGCTGTCCGTCTGCGTTCGGAGCTGCCGGGCACTCCGCCGCTGGGTGGGTGCCTGCGCACTGGTGGCACACATGGCGGTACTTGCAATTCCTGAACCCGCATCACCACTCGGCATATCTCTTGGCAGGTGAGGGCTTTCCCAAGAATGCCACCACTGTGGATTTCACTGTCTGAACCCGTACCGCCAGGTCGAGATCTTCATCCAAAGCCAGATGACATGCGACACTGAGACAGCGTGCTCAATCTGTTCATGGGCGGCACTGAGACAAAGGAGCCCTCATAGCTTAATTTCCCTGTGAAGCACACTGTGTAGAGAGACAGGTTGACCTTCGACCACTCTTTGTTTTCGGTGGCTGCAGCCTGGTGGTGGTATGCGGCGTCGTACTGAAATATAATACATGCTTAGCATTGAGGCTAAGTCCGGCACCCTCATACTCTTGGCTAGCCCGAAGATAAAGGGAGCAGATATGAAACCGAAGCAGTATTCTAACACTCGAATCTGCTCGGACCACTTTGTATCTGGCTCACCTTCTACTCTATATGATGAGAATAATCCAGACTGGGCCACCCCTTTGAATCTGGGATATGAGTCCGTCAGTATTGAGGCTAAGCGTGTGAGCGAGCTGTTGACCACCCCTTTCAATCTGGGATATGAGTCTGTCAGTACTCACAGCATTGAGACTAAGTCCGAGAGGTATGAGCGAGCTGTTGAAAGGTCAAGAAAGAGAGCCTGGAATAATCACGAGGAAGATCCTGCAGCTGATGTTGAAACTGTTGAAAGTAGTGATTATGCTAATTCTATCTTGACACTAATAGATTTGAGCATGCAAGGCATTCATGAGGATAGTAATCTAAAATCTCACAGTTAGAAGTGGAAAGGGAGGAAAAGAAAGAATTACATCAAACCACTAAGAAATTATTGAAGCTGCAAGTGGAGGAGTTCACACTAAACGAGGCTGATAGTATGGTATTATGATTGAGTAAATGGGAATTAGTTCAAAAGCTATTTGTATACATAAAGCCACATCTAAAGCAGTACTCACCCCTTTCACCATTTCAACAGCTTCTAGTGACTCTTATGAGATTACGTTTGAACCTTGGTGGTGCAAATCTTTGCTATAGATTTAATCAACCATCAGCCGAACATTCGAGTTTGTTATTGGTGTCCTTTATGCCAAGGTTTAAGCCTTTGATGATGTGGCCTGATAGAGACACTCTCCAGAAGACAATGCCGATGGTATTTCACAAGCATTATCCAAGGTGTGTGGTCATCATACACTGTTTTGAGATATTTTTGGAACGTCCTACTAACCTGCTAGCCAGAGCACAAACATTTTCATCCTACAAACACCACAATACAGTTCAATATCTGAGCGGAATAACTCCACAAGGAACGGTGAGCAATAATTATCAGACGGACGGGGTGGCGGGACCAGTATATTATAGAACATTCCTCTCTACCAAACAATATTGTGTCTGGCAATACAATATTGGCAGATAGGGGATTTGTTATAGGTGATTCAGTTGGGTCCTACTGCTCAACACTGAAAATTCCAGCCTTAAAAAACCCAATCGTCAGGCATTGATATAGAGAAGACGAGACACATAGCCAATGTCCATATTCATGTGGAGAGGGTTATTGGCAACATCAGGAAAAAGTACTCACTTCTCAGTGCGACACAACCGATTGAGTTCGTATCCTCAGCAGATACAACTAAAGTGTGTGTGTTGCTTGTGCTCTTATCACTAAGTACGGTAGTACGTAGTATATAGTGATGACACAGGTTGTCCTGCATGTTTCGCTTTCAGTTTCAATCAGATCCAACTTTTGACACATCAGACTGATCCGTGTCGTCACAAAGAGCATGCATCCAAGAAATGGCTTAAATCGCATAATCGGTACTTGATTAGTCAGTTTTCAAAATTCTTCTCGTTGTTGTTATTGTTCAGTTTAGACAAGCGTATCTCAAAAACCACTATGGAGATGAAACTTTGCACAAAGATTGGAATCCGTGACCCGGTGTTTTAATTTGTTTGTAAACAATGTTGAATAGCCCCAGGCCATACAACATGATATACACCAATAAAGTGTGCTACGTAACTAGGTAGAGCAAATACCCAAATTTTGTACACACATCACTAGTATCAAAATGTACACATTAACAGCAACAAACAACCTCAGGCAATAAAAACTTGTAAATGGTGTTTTTGCCTCTAACTTGCTTATAGTGGATCCTCTAACAATGAAATTTGGTTCATTGATGTTCCATGATGAGAGTTCATCGGAACAGAAATTACAACTTTGTAAAACAAGCCTCGGGCAATAGAAACCTGTAAATGGTGTTTATGCCTCTATGGTTGGTTCTCTAACAATTAAACTTGGTTTACTGATGTACCATGATAAGAGTTCATTGAAACAGAAATTACAAGCATGTAAACAACAACAAACAGCCTCAAGGAATAAAAACTTCCTCTTCTTTCTTTTGAATTCGGGGAATTGGTTCCGCGATGATCCAGGGAGTCAGAGGTTTCTCACTTAGTCGTTGTGAATGGTTAACCTGCTTTTGAGAACAATAATGTGAAACTTTTCGTCTAAGGGTGTGTTGCTTTAGGCTGAAGCTATAACGACTCTATGTGCCACCCCCTTTACAATATTTACCTGAAACGACAGTACGTAGCTCAGATTTCATGCATGAACATTTTTATGCCAAAGTTTTTTGGGTTTTTAACATTAATTTGATGGACATCGGACATCCGGTTAGTATCACTCCACAAAGAGCCTTAAAGCTTCATCATCATCAGCCTCATCAGATGTCTAGAACTCGCTGCTGCTAGTGCTCTTAACATATTCAAAGTCGCTTTTCCCTCTTACCTCACTACCTGCTCGCTGAAAGACACTGTTTTCGAGTCTGCTTGCTCCATGTATGACGATGGATGGCACTGCAGCACGTGAGACGATCGATCAATAAGACACACACAGCCAGTCGTGACAGCAAAAAAGATGTCACACTCGAGTGCACTACCAAAGCACACTTGAATGCACTACTGACAAATGCACACTCGAATACATTAGCAACGGTAGCGAGGCCACACGAGCCATTCAGTGCTGCGTGGCTTTGCTCTGCGAATGCATAGAGACACCAAAATTATGGTGCTGGTTTCTGACTATTTCAATTTGTGATTTTGAATTTCCAGCGCATTCACCGTTTATAGTTTATGAATCATGAATCTGCAACAGTAAAATCCTTCGAAAGTCATTTTGACTCATTTGAGTGTTAATCATCACGTTTCACTGAATTTTCCTTACATGTTGAAAACAGTGGATGTACCACTGTTTTTGCTTGAAAAAACAAGCCCTCTATATCAGTAAGTATTTGTATATACCTTTTAACGAAACTGTGCTTATTCTGATATTTCCATTAGCGTGTATGGTACTTGTTAATCACTTTGTCTGTCTTTTTATTGTAGGTATAAACAGCATTCCTTGAGACTGTAATAATATGGCTGTCAGGATTATTTTGAGTGGAGCAAGTTCAGTTGGTAAAACCACTGTAGCCAATGACTGGTGCTATAAACATAAACATTTTGTACACATTGAAGAGGTTGCTCGAGATGTTATGCGTGAGCGCTGCATTACACGTGATGATCTGGAAGCATCACTTTTATCAGAAGAGAAGCATGTTTTTCTTGAATTACAAGGTGCCATTTTAAAAGAGCAAAATAAGCGTGAGTTAGGTGTTCCAAAGACTCAATCATTTATCTCTGATAGGGGACCAGACCCCCTCATATTTACTAATCAGTATGTTAGCAGTGATGCAGCTGATAGTCTAGCTAAAACACCAGCAGCTCTGGCTTGTCTGGAGAGATACCGCAGCTCACTGATGTTTGTACTATGTCCTCTCGAGAAACCGACGGATGATGGCTTTCGTCTTCTCCCCACCACTGAGGAGCAACACAAGTTTACTAGTCTTCTGCGTAAGTTTCTTGATAGGTACCGTGTACCTCATATCTACATCAGTGAAACTGACCACCATCGTAGGATGGCTTTAATTACAAACGCAGTGAATGGGGAATTCCAAATTCAACTGGATTTGACGGGAAAATGCTACCCTCTCATTGTACCGTTCACACTATGTGAGCCGCCATCTCATCAGATGGTTTCTCTCCGTGAATTACGATTCTCAACAGACCAAGTACAGTGTTCGTTGAAAAGGTTCTCACGAGGAAAGAGCAATCGTATGATTCACCGATTTGGGCAAGATAAATTTGTAGTGGCTGCTTTTGACAAGGTCTCTCCACATGTGGTGATAAAAATTCTACGAAGAGGGATTATCATCAATGGAGAAGAGTACCATTTCCTTGGATGCAGTTCAAGTGGCTTGAAAAACCGGACGTGCTACCTCTACAAAGGCACAAAGATTGATGTAAATGCTGCCCTCGAGGAATGTGGAGCATTCTCACAAATTAGGTCTGTGTCGGTAAGGCTGAAGCGTATTGGTCTTCTCTTCTCTGAAGCCACTCCAACAGGTATTCACCTGTCTAATGAAGATATCATTGAGGTTGAAGATATTGAAAAAGGAGCGTTTAATTTCACCGATGGCTGTGGAGGTATCAGCAAACATCTGGCAACAAGAATAAAGAATGAAGCCAACTTGCTGCTTGAGCCAAAAGATTATCTTCCATGTGTGTTCCAAATCCGCTACCAAGGTTGTAAAGGGGTCATAATGATAAATCCTAGTCTCAGGGACAACAAGATCATGATTCGAAAATCAATGAAAAAGTTTAATCCCGGAACAATTCCATTCCCAGAATTGTGGGTGTGTGATCACTCAAGGCCCTACTCCTATGGTCACCTTAATAAGCAGTTTATTATGTTGTTGTCTGGGCTTGGAGTGAAAGATGATGTATTTCTCTCAATGCAAACTGAACATTTCAGGAAGTTAAAACTCCTGTGTGTTGACCCTACTGTAGCTTTTGAAATGCTACAGTGGAATAACCAACCCCACGTTGCTGTAAAAGCTGCTAGGTGTACTCAAGAGCAGCTTGTGTCTGACCAATTTATTCAAAAGGAGCTATCAAAGTTAAAAAGCAAGCAAATTGAAAAATTAGAAAAGCTTCACCTACTCGTTCCTGAGTCACGGACTGTGTTTGGTGTTTGTGATCCACATGGAGTACTGAAGTACGGTGAGTGTTTCTTTCGACCAACCGTCCGTGGTGAGCCTTGTACACTGTCAGGCTATGTGACCGTTGCAAAGAACCCCTGTTACCTCCTTGGTGATGTGCGACGCTTGAAAACAGTTAGTGACAGCCAACGAGTGGAGCAATTGGAACATCTCGTTGATTGTATTGTCTTTCCTACAACTGGAAAACAGCCGCACCCAAATGAAATTGCAGGCTCAGACTTGGATGGTGACCAGTACTTTGTATGTTGGGATGAGAATCTAATCGTACAGTCCACTTGTGAGCCTTATGATTATTTACCAAGTGATTCTAAGCGCACATCCCAACTGCAAATGGTGGAATATTTTGCTCAACAAAATGAGCAGTCTAGAACCATGAGCAAGATCGACGCTTACTACAAGTACTGGGCAGACAAGAAAGGCATCAGATGCAAGGAATGTGCAGAACTTGGAATGCACTTTGCTTACAGTGTTGATTCTGCCAAAACTGGAGTTAAAGTCTGTATTCCACAACATCTAAGACCTCCTAAAGTGGATGCCCAGGAGCAGAGTGGTGAACTCAGACCAGTGTGGACACGGATGGAACAGGCAGCCATGAATGAAAAGCACAAACTAAGGAACATGGTGGCTCGTGATGGGATACCAGAAGCTGTGACAGAAGACTTTGTGTGGGGCTTGCTTCGGGATGAGGAATTGAACATGTCCGAGTTCAAGCTATTCAGTTTTGTCAAACAATGGTGTTACAGCCAACAATGTTCACTTGATGAGGCTCTCGAAATGCTTTGCAAATTTTCTGATTACATCAACTTTGGTAAGTTCACTTTGGAGCAACAGATAACAGCAATGGACGTTGGAGTTCCTAGAGAAATTGTTGTTAATGCCTTAAACAAATCTCAACTTTTGACTCCATCAATGCGAGCACATTTCCTTTTGGATTCCCCTCACTGTGGATGGAAGTTTTACTTTCGTTTTTATTCCGCCAGTTTTGAGGGACACCACATGCTGCGAGCATTAGAAAAACATTCTGAAACAATGTTAATCTTTCAGCTTCCACACAGAGTGACTGTTGCTCTGCACTTTCTTACACAACTTTTCCATGGCAAGACCAAGCTAAATGCAGGTTCTGTGGTAGCCTACTTCTTCTCTCCTCATTTCAGTCTCAGCAGACGGTGTGTATTAGGACCAGAGTACACCATTGAACTTGACAAGGAATTGCTGCAACTTTATCGGGACAAAAAGGGAGCAACGTTCGTTAAGTTGGCGTTTGAAGACAAAGAGAGAGTGGGTCATGGGCTCTCAGATGAAACAATATATGATCATATTAGTGTGGACCTAACTCAATTCAAGCAAGACATTCTCACTAAAGAGCAGCACCCTAAAGTAAGAAAGGAAAGTTTTCAGTGCATGGAGGTGTTTGTGAGGACTACTGGTCACAAACCGGCGTATTTTGATATACTCTTAGCTGACTTTCCTGGTGAGCTTTCTGATGAAATGTCTGAAGACACTGCAGTTGAAGAAGTACCATTAGAAGAGACACTAGTTGCGGAGGAAGAATCTAATCTGGAAAGTATGAAACCATATGTCACAGATACAGCACTGAGAGAGTTACAAAATGCAGCATGCAGTGGAAATGCTGGTAATTATAATGTTCTCCTACAGTTTATTCTCTCCAATGAGAAGGAGTCGAGTCACTTGTCTAATGATCTCCAGTCATCTCTTATGACCTTGCTCACAACCATGGTTGCTTCACATTACAAAAAACTATCCACAAGAGATTGCCTTGAAAGTATTGTTGTGACAGTTCTTGACTATTGTTTACAAACTCCACAAAGCAAATTAATACTTTTGGACAGGCTGTTTAGACTTCAATACCCTTCTTTAGCCAACCAAATTGTGGAAGGCATGCAAGTATCAACAGTACCAGCCTATTTTGAAGCAGTGTTGAACTGGCAGTTGTGGTGTTTCTTATCTCGAGAGACAGCTCACGAAATCCTCAATATCATCAACCCTCTCAGGGACCTCAAGTTCAGATCTGACAATAAAATAGATTGTTCAGATGAGGTCACCGCAACTGTTGAATACAGTGTCCATTTTGCTGACCTTCTCCTTCATCATTTTATTGATGAAGTCCACGAAGCAATGAGCCAAGCCAATGGAGAGAGTTCCAAGAAAGATTATACGATCAGAAATCTCAAGGCATGTGATTTAAACAGTGATGGTCCATGTGAAAAGCTTCATTCAGGGTTGAATAAACCATCAAAATATAAGGTTAGCTTCACTAAAAAGACGGGTGTGTCATCCTTTAAGTTCAATGTTGGTACTTTTCTCATGATTTCCCCTATGAAACTTTCTTCTAAGACACAAGTCCCTGTAGCAATGCTGGGACATGTAGTCCAAGTGTGTAGGCAACCAACAAATATCGTTCTTGAGTTGGAGGAGCCAATTCCGCACTGTCTTAAACTCTCAGCTAAGCAATCCAAAGGACATTGGCAGCTCAATCTGATTGGAAATGTAATTGCTTTCAAACGATCAGTTAAAGCCATCCGGAAACTTTACAGTGAACAGTTGAGTTCAACCCAACTCCTTCCGTTCCTGGTTCACCCACAACAGTGCACGGCGGACAGTACTTCAGGTCCTACTTCAGGGACTACTCCACCGAGAAGTGATGTTCAGTCTGCATGTGTACAACCAGAGAGAGTGGCCTCTGGTTTTCCTCGACATCCAAGTGACTTATACAATGCAAGCCAAAAGAAAGCTATTGATGCTGGAGTTTCCCAGCCAATAACCCTGATTCATGGCCCTCCAGGGACAGGAAAGACACACACAGCCACTGAAATTGTGCACAGAGTATGTCAGAAATATTTCAGTAGCAAAAGCAAAGTTTTGGTAGCTGCTGAAACAAACATGGCTGTGGATAACTTGACTCGAAAACTGCTCGAACGGAATGTGATGGTAGTTCGTGTTGGCAACATTGAGCACATGTCAGAGGATATTCGCCTAGTCTCTTTCGAGCATCAATTGCAACTGAAGCACCTAGAGGTCGGTAAAGATAAGCTTAGGAGTAATGCTACCAATTCTCGAGACATTCTCAATGCAGCAGAAGTCATTGCCACTACTTGTATCGGTGCAGGAGATTCTGTTTTGAAAGGTTTAGTCTTTCCATTTGTGCTTATAGATGAAGCCACTCAAGCAACAGAGCCCGTGTCTCTTGTGCCACTTGTTCACAAGTGTGAGCAACTGGTGCTTATTGGTGATCCACAACAACTGCCTCCAACCGTGATAAACCCACACAAAAACTCCCACACATTATCCATGTCATTGTTTCATCGACTCTATGAAGTGTTACCTTCAGTCTTTCTGGAAGAACAGCATCGAATGCACCCAGCTATTGCAGAATTCCCCTCCAATGCATTTTACTCGGGTAGGCTCAAATCGGCTCCTGATTTAGACAAAAGGACAAACAACTTTGATTTCATTTGGTCTAAGACAGATAGACCACTTGTTTTCATTAATGTCGAAGCGTCCAGAGAACAGCATTTAGGCATATCGTTCAAAAATTTGGCTGAAGCAGATGTGGTTGTAAAGGTAGTAGTTTCCCTTCTCAGCAAAAATATTAGTCAGAATGAAATTGCTGTCCTCACTCCCTATGCTGGTCAGGTGAAGTGCATCAGAGATAAACTTGGACAGGTCGCAAAATATGTGGAAGTTTCCTCAGTGGATGGATTCCAAGGAAGAGAGAAGGAGGTAATAATTTTTAGTACTGTTCGTACTCGAAGTCTTGGATTCACTGGTGATAAGCGTCGTATTAATGTTTTACTGACACGTGCTAAACACGGCCTTATTGGCATTGGTTGCTACAGAGCTGTCTCTGCTGATCCAACCTGGGCCTCCTGGCTAAAACAAGTGCAAATGGAGGAATCGGAAGAGTTCCTGGAAGCAAAGCCCAAAGTTCGTAGGGGGAAACAGATTCCAAGAGGCAACTTTCTTACACTTTGCAAACACGTACAGAAAGGATGTAGAAATGGTGATAAGTGCAAATTTGCCCATTCTGATAATGAGCTGGCTGAGTCGAGTCATAGAATGAATCCTCAATCACAGACAAAAGCGACGCTAAAAAGTAGAGATGATGTTCCCAGTACACCTAAGGATAGAGTGTATAGACTATGCAGATACATTGAACGAGGTTGCAGAGATGGTGATAAATGTAGGTATGCTCATTCACAAGCCGAATTGGATGAATGGAATTCACAGGCAAGAGCATACAATGCAAGGCCATTCAAAAGAGAAAGTGGTGCGAACAAAACGTAAAAAAATTACCATTACTTAAATTGTTTGGGTTGTTATTTACTAAATGCCGGTATAAGAATATAAAACTTGCCACCACCTACCTTAGATGGCAGTAATTCAGCGCAGTCAGTGTATGTTAGTGTGTGCTCCTCTTTACGCTCCTGATGGTCATAGCTCGTATTGATGCCATACATTCTTTCTCTCATCTCTGCCTGTGGCTCTGCCGCTCATGATGCTGCAGGTTGCAAGCATTTGCAGCGGTAGACCTGTAGCTCCTTCCAAGAACTGCATGCACTGACATAATGAACTGTTAGGAAATTTTGGTGTACTAGACTTGTGGGCACCAGTAGTCATGCATATATAGTAGCAACAAACACACGCGTGCACCAACATCCCTGATTAAATTGTTTGGAAAAAGGGGAAAGTTCTTGGACTCTTCCAATTGTGAAACCTTCAACATAGCCAGAGAGAGTAGCAGATCATTGCCTCATGCTAACTTAGCTAGTACACCTAAGAATTCATCTACATAGAGTTGTGAGGTGGGTGTGGGTTCTCTCTGCGTTTAGGCTGCGTACTAATGAGTGGTTTGGTGTGTCTCCTAAACCTTTCCGTTATGTGAGGATGAGAAAAGTGCATTTCTTGCCGATGTAGCTACTGTGCCACTAAAAGAGAGTGATGGCCCTACGTAATTATATTATTTGAGAGGGATACCTAAAGCGTTTACAAGTAAATTAAAAATCCTGCGAATTTAAAAAAAGAGGCATATATGGATTGTATAAAAAGAAAGGGAGACAGGATAGGGATAGGATACATGAAGCATGGTTAATGAACAGATTTGAGCACACTGACACCCCCAACCCCATCACACAATCCCTATATTGTTGCCTTGTGCCACTCCATTTGTACTCTTGGTTACTCAATAGCATGACTTTTTCGTATTTTCAAGCTAGACTATTGTGTAATGTTCACTTCACCTAGGCAACAATATAGGGATTGTGTGATTGGGTTGGGGTGTCAGTGTGCTCAAATCTGTTCATCAACCATGCTTTATGTATCCCATCCCTATCTTGTTTCCCTTTCTTATCCCTTTTTTAAAAAATTCGCAGGATTTTACTTGTCTACTGTGAATGGGGGCAAGCCCCCTATAAAAACTAATAATGGAGAAAAATGCCTGTTGTTGTAATGGAAATGATGTAATACACATGCGTACCAAGTTTCATTGCCGTTGGCAAGTTTGAGTAGTGAAGAAGAAAATGCGGATATTTGTTGTTGTTCAAATAATATATGGTTGTCATGGAAACGATATAATATGCATGCTGACAAAGTTTCATCTCCATGAGTGCTACCGTTAGTGAGTTGAGGAGAAGTGCCTGAAGCTATTGAACAATATGTAGTCGTTATAGAAACATGTAGTTGTCATGGAAATTATGTGATACACATGCACACCAAGTTTCACCTCCATGCGTGCTACAGTTAGCGAGTTTGAGGAGTGAAGAAGTAATTATTTTTAAAGAAAAGTGCCTGGTTGTTGTGGTCGTCATGGAAACGATGTATGTAATACACATGCGCACCAAGTTTCACCTCCATACATGCTATATACATGCAGCAAGTTTGAGGAGTGAAGAAGTAGTTTTTTAAAAAACAATTGCCTGAGGCTTTGTCAAACAATATTTGGTCGTCATGGAAACATGTAATTGTCATGGAAATAATATAATAGGCATACATACCAAGTTTCATCTCTATGCGTGAAAGTTTGAGAAGTGAAGAAGAAAAATGTGAAGAAAAGTGCGTGAGGCTATATAAAAGTTATTTACAAACATGTATTGTTGTGAGTTTGATGTTGGCTATTGTGTATACAAACTTTCATTCACATAGCTCTTACCATTATACTGACACATAATATGATGCCATTATAATGTATTGCCTGGGGTATTTGTTGTTGTTTACAGTAAACAATGATGTTTACAAATGACCAGTCTCTTCGGGTGACCGATATCTACATTCTTACAAAATTTCATTACGGTGTTATTTCCTTTCTGAGTTACGCGAGTTCAATCTGAAGGAGAAGGAGAAGATGAAGAAAATTCCCTATCATTAGAATTATAGCCCCATACAATTATGATGCTTACCATGCCAATCCCTATATACAAAGTACTATATACCCTACTTAGTGATAGCTATGATAAGTTTATAAGGCCTGTTGTTACAACTGTATAGATTATGTGGTGTTCATGCTTGTTGTTAATGTTGTTCTAGCAAGCATACAAGTGTGGAAGACCAGAAAGTGGCCCTGATGAACAGTGAATAATATTAATTTTTATCAATGAAAATTTTATGAATTAGTTGTTGGAAGGAGCTCTAGGAGCCTGCTGCCAATGTCTCCAACCTGCAACACAGCCAGTCATAGTCATAGACAGAGAGAGAATGCACTGCACCGTGCATACCGTGAGGGAGTTGTGGCCAGAGAATATGGGAGTGGGGGAGTGGAGGGGAGAACGAGCCAGGAGACTCAACGTATCAAACACACTATTAAAAAAGGGTGAAATGACTGCTGCAAATAAGAGCCCTTACCTTAAGTTCTCAGGTACTAGCCTCCATACACGATCAATGTATCCATGCAAAACACCCTCCTGAGGAAGAGATGTCTTTTGCAAAATACGTTCCGGTCTATGTGTATATACCTGTGCCATGGTTCCCAGCAAAGACTGGAAGAGAGAGCAGTATTTGTGTGAAGAGCCGATGGCCTTATTCTCTAAGAAAGCCACTGCATCCTCCCACAGATGTCCTCTCAGCAGCAGCCCCAGAGATGATCCCTCACTACCACTCAGCTCACTACAACAAAACAACTAGCCACAGTGCAAAGGTTGTTCACATAGCAACGGCAGAGCACAGCTCACAGAGAGACAAGACACAAACATGAGAGGTGGGGTCAACCTGTGCAGGAGAAGGTCAGAATGGGCCAGCAGAGCCATTCTGGAGGTGGGAGTAGTTTCTTTGGACACAAACACTGGCAGGCACTGCACAGCCCTCTGGAAGAAGTATGTCTGTAGATAGTGCAGATAAGGTCCGTACAAGTGGGATTCATAGCCGATAACAGACCTTTCTACACCTCCTAGCAAAGGCAGACTCTCCCTGAGCTTGGTAGTCTCTAGCAAACTGAGCGAATTTCACAAAAGGCACCTTCGAGTGGTAACAGATAACAGAAAGCATAGTAACAGCAAAACTATCTCACCAGTTCTTCAGGCTGTTCTCTGTAGAGGAGACGACATGTCAGCTCAAAGACTGGTATGTTAGGAGCCACAGGATCCAGGGCCTTCCTCCTCACTCCACTGCCCACCTCAACTCCAAACACCGACTTCCAGTCTCTGTTTGAATCCCAGTGCCCCACCTCAATGGCCTCTACAGCTGCTGGCAAATCTCTGTCGCTAGTGACACACTCACCCACAGAGGAGACTAGTATATACCTGAACTGAAGTTTGGCACGGCAAAGAAATTTCTAAGACCAGTAAGACTAGCAGATGGTGAGAGGCAACTGAGGAGCTGGAGCTGTGCCCGGAGACCTGCTCTGCTGTTCTCAGATCCACAATCCTCCAGTCTGTGCAGTAATGAGGTAGTGAGGGCTGATGGTGTCTGCAGCAGTGGTTCAGTTGTGAAGTGAACAATCTTCTCCTCGTAGTCATGAGAGAGGGACTGGTACTTCATCAAGAGAGGTGCTGGATGGAGGTCAGACATTGATAAGAGTGTTAACACTTCTGTTTAAGTAAAAGATCATTCGTGATCCAACATTGTGCCATGATGGCAATGAATGACAGAAAAATGAGCCTACCTATTTCCTTTGTCATGGGAGTGGGGATATCATCAGGAAAGGTCTGCAGAAATGTCTTCACAGAGTTCGACACCAAAGCCCTGTGTCGGGGGTGCTGGAACAGAACACGTAGGATTAGCTATAAAATAGTCTTAACTAATGAGTGCTACCTCTGCCAACAGAGCTACCAGTAGGGCAGGAGATTGTAGACTGAGATGCCCCAAGAGAGACTGCAGCTGTAAGGAAAAAAACAATAGCTGTGTGGTTGTTCATTGAAGTAGTCTACTTTGTCCGTTATTTCTTCCTGAGGAAGGGATGAAACTATGTACCCTCACCTCAGAACTAAGATGAGGAAGAAATGCATCGTTAACACTCACTCCCTCTACCCGGTCTCTCTGCAGAGAAGTTGTTAGTTGTCGTTGCAGTAGTAGTAGTACACACAGTGATGAAGAGTAGGAGACGAGCCATCATACCTGGACAATGCCGTGGAGAGCCTCAAGAGCAGACCTGGTAGCTGGGAGAGGAAGGTTCCACAACAGACAGAGAGTAGCAGCCAGTACCCTGCCTTCGTCCAGGTAGTCCCCTGGAGTGGTCTGTATAGAGAGACTGGTCTTTTAATCTTAAGTACACAATAAATCCGACCAATTCAGAGGACTATGTATGCTTGTTTTGTTTTGCACAATATGGAGTACGGGAAACTGTATGGGGATCACAGTAGGCCGGCTAGTTTGGTGAGTCCTCCCGTCACAGGTATATATACATTAGTTCACATCTTCAGTGATTCCTAGCATGTTAATACCAAGAGCAGGCGGCATGCACATGAACTAAGCTGCAAACCGTACCCTCCGCTAAAATTCACAAGTAGAGAGCCAAATCTTAAATTGGGTAATACAATACAGTGGAACCTCGTTAAAGTGAACTCATGGGGACCGCCTCAAAACTTCGTACTAACAGCAGTTTCATAAAGGAATTGTCACAATACACGACATCATTAGCAAGTGTATTATTCAAGTCTAGCAATGCGAGCAATGGCTTCTCCTAAAACAGGGTCTTTTGACTCTTAAGAACCTGTAGACATTTGCTGGCTTGAGTAACAGAGCCCTCAGGCGCGAAGCTAGCTTTATCCGATGCGTCAACAATCTTCTGCTTGTTTTTCACGATAGAAGTAATGGTACTTTTATCTACACTAAACCCCTCAGCTATTACTGATTTCTTGCCCCATTCAACAGCCTTTATTATACTTGGCCAAAGATATGGGCTGGTAACTGCAGACTTGGCCTCATTTGCACTAAAACCACTGGTCAGCTTGTACACTCAGGTGAGTGCAAGTTAGGACTAACAAAGTGGTTGACATTGACAGTGGTTTCACACTACCCGTATTCATACTAAACGGAGCCCACAACAATAGCTTCCTATGGAGGCTTGGCTTGGGATATTGCAACCGTTCATTGTAACAGGAATTTCATTCTAAGCGTGCACACTCTAACAAGGTTCCACTGTACCTCATCAGCATTGGTCGTGATGGGGAAGAGGGCCTGGGAGAGGAGCTGAGTGTGCTCTGAGAGCTTCTGACTACGCAGAATCCACACACCACTGCTGTCATAAATACCGATCCAGTGTGTTGAGAATGGAGGGGCCAGGAGGGAGGTTTGATGGCCCTCGTGCTCCCCTGACTCCCACACCATCTCCCCACACAACATCTCATACAACCTGTAGTATGAACAGAAACATATGCACCTTGAAGGAGTTTTAAATAAACTACTGGGTGAGTGGACCCAGCACCATACTTGTATCTCAGTGTGTAGTTTGTCAGCAGTCCCTAGCTAGCCATACCTCAGATCTCCCTTGGAGAAGATGCCACAGTAGGTGTGGAGAGAAAACAACTGAATCTCAGCTGTGTGGGGTCTAGGCTGGGGATAGTGCTCTGAAAAATCCTTGAGCTTAGTCACAACACGACCACGAGGTCTGTCCACATTCTCGATAGTGATTACTTCTCCTGATGATAGAAGGACCAGCAGCTCTTCCACTGCTGTGCTGACTGTCACACTCACCAAACACCTGCCATCTTTTGCATGGGCCTAGTGATGTGCATGGAACATTTATACTAAAGGACAAGAAGAGTAATACCTTGCTCCACAAGGGAGCTAGCTGTAAACAGAGAGCAGGGTAGTGAGAAGAGGGGGAGCAAGTTGCAGGAGAGTCATTTCCAAGGATGAAAGGCTGTGAAATGAAAAAAAAAAAATTAAGAGAGACTGGAATGAAGGTGCATACGTATATACTTGTAGCTGAGAGGGGTGGGTAGGTGACCACAGCAGCAAGAGGCCAGGCGGTGCCTGACTGGGGAGGACTGCCACGCCTCCTCTCCACTGCCACAGATATACCTGAGGACAGTCCGACAGGAGCAGACGTGTGGTGTCTCCCAGGGATAAACCTCTGTGATCACTGTCACCTGTAAGAACATTTTGTGAATAACATCAGGTAAAAATGAAGCCAAACACATAGTTTGAAGTTAAATTCCACACTGATGCAAGTGCATATTATAAAGGTTAAGGCATAAGAGTTAACTGAGGTTAATAGCAGTGGGCCACGGAGCATGCAGGAGGTGTGTGCACGGACATTGTTAGAGGCCACGTGGATGAGGAGCGGTGTAAAAGAGAGAGAAGCAATGTAGGAGAGAGACAACGGTAGAAAATTGAAAACGTTAAGATGGTAGAAAGCAAACACGCAGAGGATGGGACAAAGCGGGCTGGAGCTGCGTTCTTCAGAAGGAGCTGCAAGTCGTTATGGAGGCAGCGGTTACGAGGGCCCTTGGGGTTGCGACAATGGAGCAATATTTGCTGAGTCAGGTGGCAGAAACCCATACATTTTTCAGTTTATACGTTTCGAGTGACTGCTCGCAACGAATGCAAGAGTCCGATACTTTAATTCAATATTCTGTTAGATACATTCATAAGCTATCCATTAATCACCCTTACCTAACCCTTACCTCGCTTTGTTTATTTGCTAGCGCTGTTGAAATGTTTTTCACCTTCACGGCTAAATTCTCAACAGCCGAGAATAACACCAGTAGTAGGATCAACCACGCAGGACCAGAAACTGGTGCTGAACATACAGCTACAACCACACGCTATAAGACTTTCAAAGTTCAGGGTGAGACACCGTCGGCCCCTTCTGCACCAAGGGGAGTTCCGTAAGTGAGGTTGAGGATGGAACTTATGAGGTAGACACATCGAGAATGATTGCAGTCAGCCAGAGCGAGTATTGGTGCTTATGGGCAGTGGCATGCGTAAAATTTCCAGTGACACGCGTACAATGAAATTTTTATCATGTCAAACACTGGTGTGGTGTCATTCACTGGGCGATTGCTACTTCATTTGTGGACAAAAATTTGGATGTGTCATGGTGGTATGTTCACAATTTTTCCAGATAGCCACAGTACATGCGCATGCGCACAAGTGTGAAGACGAAGCCGATACCCAGGTGATTCAAGCCGATCATGGCTCTGCCAATCATAACCGATATTGCCGCTGTTGCTAAGCGCAGAAGGAAGGAGAGAGATGCGCTGACAAGTTGTTATGAGAGTCTTGTTGATGCGAGTTATTAAATAGCGACCGTGCCGAATTGTACGTAGCGACTGTTTTTGCTAGTTGATTTTCAGAACTGTAGTAGTGTCCAGCTAACCTAGCTCATACTACTGGGCTCTACATACACCTGGAAACAGCATGGTGATCAAGTTTGTGCAAGAAAACCACACAATATTCGTTTCTGGGAGGGGAAATCTAGCAGCTTTCAAATTTTGGACTGCTATATACTGCTGAAGCACGTAAGAGCTCCCACAGAGCTACCACAGTACTCGGGCTTTTTTGTAGAAGTATCGCAGCGACAATGTTCTCATGCAGGAGGTGCTGGACATTCAGTTGTCAGAGGGTAACTTGAACTTGACTAAACTGAGCTACAGGCATATAACTAGAAACTGTCACTGATTGTGATTGCTTGCTTGCTTTCAAAAGGTTTTTGTTACAGAGAAGCATATTTACCGTTGTACAAAATCCAAAACAGTGACCAACTATTGCAACATCTTGGCCCCGCTCTACCAAGTGGAGCTCTGTCTCGAATTCACAGATCAATTTGTTTTTAATGAAGCTCTGCAGGGATTTTTTGGGTAAGAAGTGCAGAATTTGTTGCGGTCAGCATTATTTTTAACTGCATAATGTTGTGGAATACAGGAATGACAATAGTGATGTTGATGAAGAGCAACTCAGTACGATCCAGTTACATGCACCGGGTCTCCAGCCTGGTTCTGATTTCTACATGTTTGGACCGAACTTCCAGATATAAACAGATGGCTCAGTGGTTCCCGCTAGCCAACATCAGTTCATCTGGATTGACAGTATCCTCCAGACACTGCAGCGACCAATTAACCCTTTCCCAGTTACTCCCTTCAGCACCGCGATATCGTAGTCAACGGAGTACACAACATTGCTGGAGACAATGTCATTAGTGTATCTTTTAGGTAAGCCAGCAGGCCCGTTTTACTGATTGCATTATAAATTATGAAGTAGTGAGTATATAAGATACAAGTTGTGCCTTGATAGGATGCAGGAGAGAATGAGTATGACACAGCATGAAAACAATCTGGAGTAGATAGAGTGTGAGAATTAGAAGTTCTCAAAACAGAGCATAGTTTGTGAGAATAATAATAGCAAGAAAAACTTGTGACTTTAGTTCACATAACATGCACAGGCTGACAAAAGTGTTCACTACAAGTATATACATAATATAATACCCTCTATCTTCAGGCTATGGGAACATTATTATTAAAGGCTGATGGATAAACTTTCTTTTAGAAGCAATAAGATTCCCATGCAGGTACAAGTTAACTTGAAAGTTAATATTTCAGGTGTAGGAATATTTTCAATGCACTACGAGACAATGATGGCCCGATGTGGTTCTGTGGGGATATATAGCAGTTGCTACCAGCCCGATCAGTAGAGGGAAGACAAAGGTGTGGCTGTTGCCGTGTGTGGGAACTAGGATGTACAGGGCACCTTACTCACAGCATGGCACTTAAGTGTTGCTTTGCCCTTTCTATATGATGACCCGAGCAGTGACACCGTATTTAAACCGCTTCTCATGAATTCTTTTGGTGGGATGAAGATTGGCGAATTGTTAACATTTCAGTCATTTGTGAACTGTTTTCAAGAGAGATAGGTACTCGTAGATGATTGTGAACATTTCAGTCATTATTGTGAACTGTTTTCAACATTTCAGTCATTAACCCTCGAGCGAGGGTTACGGTACTTGGTTCGTGAGTGTGTGTGTGTGTGTGTGTGTGTGTGTGTTTGTCCGTTCGTCTGTTACCACGTTTTCTGCGACTATGCGCAACGAGACAATGAAATAGCGACACGAACAGGTTCATCGCTACACTGGCCTCATTTTTAAAAAAAGGTGATTTTCATATAACTACTGCGTTCAAAAGTTATGGCGTGAAAAGCAAGTCAACAAGCCAATATGCAAATTAGCACAGGCTTACCTCGACCGCGTCCGATCGCTCTGTGTATCTTGAAAGCACAAGGAGTCACAACGAAGGGCATGTATCGCCTCCCGCTTGCTATCTACTACTGTAGCTAGCCCGTGCCAGACTCTCTGCGAGCTACTAGCAGGATACCACGAGCGAAGGCATAAAAAGCCCAGCCCATCAATTAGTGGTTCCGCGCATGCGCAGTTCGCCGAGGGTTTGCACCTTAGTGCCAATTTGTGAACTGTTTTCAAGAGAGACAGGTTCTCATAGATAGATGTGAACATTTCAGTCGTTTGTGAACCATTTTTAGATGATTGTGAACGTATCAGTAATTTGCAAACCGTTTTCAAGAGTACTCGTAGATGATTTCAATCATTATTTTGTGAAACCGTTTTCAAGAGAGATAGGTATATACTCGTAGAGTCATTTGTGAACATTAGGGGACACTTATGTGGTTATGTGGGGACATATAATTGATGATTGTGAACATTTTAGCAATTGCTAACACTCCACGAGGGAGATTATAAGGTATATACACCTATCGATGATTATGAACTTTTCAGGAATTCTGAGCACTTTTCAAGGATATTGATCGTGAACTTTCAGCAGTTGCATGTGAATAATGCTAGCACATAGCTACATAAATTCACCCTCATGCATTTTAGTTGAGGCATTGATTGTCCTGCTTTGTACATGTCTTAAAAGTGATACATCTTCTCATACATCTTATCTCCACATTAGGGGCCCGGATTATTGTGTAGCCTGCTGTCTGTATACTAAGAAGTCCACCCACACACAATTAGATCTAGTTTTGCAATTGCAATCAGGAGTACAGTGTGTGTGTACGTGAACATGTCACAATGGACACTATACTCATCACGTATCCTCAAATCAACTAGTGTATTAGACTGCGCTCCATTACTTCCAGGGTTTATTCCCTGGGATTGTACCCTGAACAGGAGGGAGTGGAAACACACTCATGCTGTGGGTAATTAGAGGGGAGGAGCCATGTGTAGGCATGGCAATGGGGATGCCTCTCTTATTTATGGAATGCGATATGTTTCAAAATTCTATAACTTTTCCACGCCGGGCATTGTCAGGAGACAGCTTTCAATGGTGTGATAAGATAACGATTCTATGTTACGCTTTGGGATCCGTTGTCGGATGGCCTTTGATATTACAAGTAACTTAAAAATCCTGCGAATTTTTAAAGAGTCATATAGGGATGGTATAAAAAGAAAGGGAGACAAGATAGGGATGGGATACATGAAGCGTGGTTAACGAACAGGTTTGAGTTGAGCACGCTGACACCCCCGACCCCATCACACAATCCCTGTATTGTTGCCTGGTGTGCTACTCTTAAACTCCATTATTGTGGATTGTATAACAGTGTTGGCTACTCAATAGTCAAGCTATAGGTCCTGACTATTGTAATGTTGAATGTTTAATACTTCACCAAGGCAACAATATAGGGATTGTGTGATGGGGTTGGGGGTGTCAGTGTGCTCAAATCTGTTTTTATTTTTAATTTACTCCACCAATTTAAAAAATATATAAACTATACGTATATCTCGCAAGCCTCTTATAAAAATTAATAATAGACAAAGATGCCTGTTGTCGTCAGGGAAATGACTACGCATGCGTACCAAGTTTCATCTGCATGCGTGCTACCGTTACAAGTTTTAGGAACGAAGAGGTAAATTATAAAGAAAAGTGCCTGAGGCTATTTGTTGTTGTTCAAAGAATATGACGTTGTCATGGAAATGATTTAATACACATACGTTCCATGGTTTGAGGTCCGTACAACTGCACTGCTTTTTCTCGTGTGTCAGCTGGTGCTCGAGGTGGGATTTCACATACGTAACTGTACACCCTAGCCTGGTCGGTGTTCAGTGACTGAACTAGTTCCTCCAGGCTAGGTCCTTCACTCCCATTGTTCTGGTGGAGGTCAAGCACGTCGTTGATGGTCGACGTTGCCTCACCTGCCACCGCCGAGTTTGAGGAGTGAAGAAGTAATTATAAAGAAAAGTTCCTGAGGCTATTTGTTTATGTGGTCATCCGTACCAAGTTTCATATACATGCGGTTTGAGGAGTGAAGAACGAAAATTGCCTGAGGCTATTTTTTTCCAAACAATATTTGGTCGGCATGGCACGATGTAATATACATGCGTACCAAGTTTCATCTCCATGCGTGTTTACCGTTAACAAGTTTGAGGAGTGAAGAAGTAATTTAAAGAAAAGTGCCTGAGGCTATTTGTTGTTGTTCAAACAATACGAAGTCGTCATGGAAATGATGTAATAAACATGCGTACCAAGTTTCATCTCCATGCGTGGTACCGTTAGTGAGTTGAGGTGAAAAATAGTTTTAAATAAGGCTTTTTCAAACAATATGCGGTCGTCATGGAAACATGTAGTTGTCATGGAAATGTAGTTGTCATCTCTATGCGTAGAAAGTTTGAGAAGTGAATTTAAAGAAAGTGCCTAAGGCTATTTGTTGCTATTTACAAACATGTATTGTTGTGATTTTTTGATGTTGACTATTGAAAACATGTGTTTCGTTCACATAGTTACACTGACACATGTATGCAAATAATAATGTATTGCCTGGGGCAATTTTGTCGTAGTTTACAGTAAACAACATTGTTTACAAACAAAACAGTCTCTTCACATTACAGATATCAATGTTGCTACAAAGTTTCATGTCCATACATCATTTCATTTTTGAGCCTTTTGTCTTGAAGAAGAAGAAAATGATGAATAAATCTCCCTATCATAGCCCCATACACTACTGTATGTACATAGTCATTAGTGGGGTCTGGGAAGGAGTTGTTGCCTTGTTGGAGACCATTGTGTACATAGCGCTGACACTTTCTCAGCTGGTGCTTATTGGTTTAATCTGTCATTTGGCGCCTGCTAGAAAGTTACAGCGCCCAGAAATTGATCGCGCCCCAAGAAAGTTTTCCCCCCATGAAGTTGCGTTTATCTCCCCCTGAAAAGTCTATCACCCGGCATGGACAATATTAACCAATAGCATTCCATACCTACCGGGTACTGCCGCGAAGCCAGTATTGTGCCATCATTGTGCCATCTTAAGAAGCTACAGTACCGCTCAGATGTACGGCATAACAGAAACACGTGTGTCACGAGCATAACTGCGGTCACGAACACGTTTACATGCAGAGACGAACAAGTTTACACCCAGTCACGAACAGCGACTGCGGCTGCCTACGGCGCAAAACGTGATTACATGTGGTCACAAAAGTGTTTATATGTAGCGGCGAATGCTTATCTGAATGGTACTGTACATAATTGCACAGGGTGGCAAGGGCGGGGGGTGGTTAATGTTGGAATTTATCAATGACACTGTTGAAAATGTTATAGACAAAAACAGGTGGCCTAGGTTGGACTCTAACCCACGACACACCGTTCTTTAGACTAGTGCTCTACCACTGAGCAACCGGGGAGACTCAGCAACTTAAAGTTTGCAAAAACAAGCAATACTTCATTAAAGTCAACCTTTACATGCACGTTACAATGGGAAGGTACAGGGTAATATGCACCACCTTACACAAACCTTGTAGGTAATAGCGGCAGGCAGACACCTGGTGAAGACGGCTGTCAGGAGCACTAACACAGTAGATGAATGTGTTGCTGGGTTTGTGGACAGTACAGCAGTGCACACAACCATTGCAAAGTTGAGTAGTACCTGCAATGGGATGTTAGTTGTTCGTTATACATGGAATGATTTTGTAATTAAAACCTTTTTGTCTTAGCAACAGGCTCTTATACCAGAGCAGCTTGCCAAAACCAAAAAAACACTTCAACTCCGAAATAACTCCTGTTTTACATACAATCATATATGCACTAGTTAAAAGATGCTTTTCATGTTTGGAGAGGAGACAAAGCTACCCCCAACTATACTGTACCTGTGTGTCTCCATCCAGTGTCAATCTCCAAGAACACCTCCAACTGACCCCACTCCCTCACAACACACACCACTCCCTCCACGTCAAACACAGCCACAGCCAGTCCTCCACTTCCTGAGAGAGGGAGAAGGCACTCCACCTCTTCCTCCTCCTCTTTCACTCTGGAGAAGCCATACAAGTGATCTTCATCTGCAGGAGAGGAGGCATGAGTATGAAACTGAAGCGTAAATGAAAATCTGCAAATTGAGTACTTGTTTCCTGAGCTTTTGTAGCCACAAACAAGTGGCTCTGGGTAGAGAATACGCAACAGACATTCTCGCCTGAAGATCGGGTCGGTGCCTGGCGAAACAAGTCACGAAGCACCTGGTATATCAACAGATAAGGTGTATAATAAGATATTCAGTGGGCCTAACCTGACTCCCCGTTAGTCGCGGCCAAACGTCCCAGACGCGGACGACCTCGAAGAGAGCCATTTCAAATAGCGCCCACCACCCTGTCAGCTGTTTTTGTGGGGGCGTAGACTTGTCCTGGACGTGATGGGGGATGGAACTCAGCTGGAAGTTTACCGAGGTTAGCGCTGCTGCAAGCCAAAAACACCCCTAACGTTTCTTTTTTTGTTGCAGACGCAGTGCACTGGTGAGCATTGCGCATAGTGCGGCATCCAGTATTATCTATAGAGAGCTTTCTTCGCAGGTTGCAGCTGGCCGCAGACGAGAGCAGCAAACCTGGAGATGTGGACCTTGCAAAGCTGTTGGCTTGCCATGACTGTGCAAGGAAGCTTGTGCAGAGGCTGCTCAACATTGAGCAGCACCCAGTGAGGAGAGTAAGCGACTTGTAGCTAGCCTCCTCAGTGACTGTATGGCATTCTCTTACAGAGTGGTCTGTGGCAACTAATGGCAAGTCTGGACAACCACCAGTCTCTTTTTCAAGGGAGGCTTAGGCAAAAACATGGGGACAATGGGGGCGGGCGTGCAAGTGCTGGAGATCAAACAGACCAGAGGTGCAGCATGTTGAGATTGTAGCCTTTTTTTTTGTTATTCAACTCCTAATTTCGTGCAGGAGACTTAGTATAGTGAGCAGTTTGATAAGAGCTCCTGGGGACTTCACTCTTGCCAGCTGTGTTGGTCTGGAAGATGTGAAGCAACTCCTTCGAGAAGCTGTCCTTCTTCCTCATACCCACCCTCACCTCTTCTCTGGCAGGAGGCGGCCATGGCGACGTCTCCTCCTTTATGGCCCACCTGGCACGGGTAAGATCCTGTAATAATACCGTGTGATGCTATCGTAGCTAGTGTTTCACAGGGAAGACTCTGCTTGCCCACGGTATGCCCACTTAGACAATAAGACTGACTAATGATGTAATATACGACAGCCATTTCCTCTGAGAGCCTGGCTGTCTTTTATAGTGTATCCAGTGCAGACATTCTCTCTAGCTGGGTTGGAGAGAGTGAAAAGTGAGTTAATTCAAAGGTTGTTGCAGTTGTGGTGTGTCATGACAGTGTAGACTGGTCCGAGACCTGTTCTCCCATGCCCGGCAGCAGACAAGCCAGCCTGTCATTGTGCTTATCGATGAAGTAGACAGTTTATGTCGTCGAAGAAACATGAAGGAGGAAGATCACTCCCGAAGAATAAAAACGGAGCTGCTCAAACAAGTAATTGTCACATGTTGACAGTTTAGATGATTTTCAATAATGTGTGTAACTCCACTTCAGATGGAGAGCTTTGGGAATGACAATATCGTTGTCTTGTGTACTACCAACTGTCCTTGGGAGCTAGACCCAGCTTTCCTGAGACGGTTTCAGCGGAAGATATTTGTGGGTCTTCCTAACAAGTACGCAGCTATGTCAAAACAGATGTGTGTTAACTACAGTGTATGTAGGGAGGCTCGCTGCCAGATACTAGGCCTCCACCTCGGGTCTGCTGGTGTGGCCATCAGTGGAGAAGACATGCACATGCTGTCTGAATGTACAGAGAGGTACAGTGGTAGTGATTTAGCTCATGTGGCGTCAGAGGCATTGATGCGACCACTGCGAGAGCTGGAGGGGGCTGGCCACTGGCTGCCTGCAGCAGGAGGTCTCCTCCAGCCATGTAGTGCCAACCACCCTGGGGCACTGCAAATGAGTTTCACTGACCTATCACCTCATCAGGTATTGCTTATGCATACAGACGCATGCCATCGCTGCTCTTTCTAAAAGTGCAAAGTACCTCTTGACAGTACTTTTTGTATCAATTTTGATGGTAAAACTCTCACTTTAATATGAAAACCAACCTTCAAATGCACGTATGCTCATTTGAACCAAGTTTGAATGTTGAACTTGTGTGTTTATTGTCCGCTATGCATGCCTTCTCAGTGTGAACAGAGTATTTTCACACTGGACAATGCCCATGGACCTACATCACAGATTAGTAAAGGATCACAATACTTTGCTTCCTGAAATGTGGTGGATTTGTAGTAACGAGATATGTATGTATATTATACAGGTGAGCCCCAGAGATGTGGTTGCTAGTGATGTGGTTGGAGCGCTTGAGATGTGTGCTCCTTCAGTTTCTGCTGATGACTTGACATGCTACAGCGAGTTCATGGGCACTTCTAAGTTCACTGTTACTAGTTGAAAGACTCACCATTCTGTATGCAATGTATCCGGTGCATAACATTACGTATACATACGTCAGGCCCAGGCGCACACACCTCACCACATTTTTAACTTCATTTTTAACGATGCCAAGCAACAAGAATAATTTTTTTTAGAAACGTTTTGTGCTTTGCCTTAATATATTAATAAGTTCCGGTTCCTGAAAAAATGTGCAAGTCGCGCATGTTGCACGCATTCTTCGATACTTGTATTTTGAGCCAAAACGATTCCTAAATGTCCTGTTCCATGTAAATGGAGCTGACATGCCTGAACAGGACATGCAGGAATTGTTTGGCTTCCAACAAGTTGTCAATGCATGTGTGACTTGTATTTAATGCACATTTTCCCCGCTCCTATAATTATAATGGGACCAGAACATAAATAAAGGCTAAATTAATACTTTGTTCCTAGGGATAGTAAAATTATGAAAAATGTGTTGAGGTAAAAGTGATCAAAAACTAGCATAAAATTATCAACCATTTGTAGCGGGGCTTTCGCTGGCAGCAGCAGTTCAATAGGGGTGCTCAAGTCAGTATGGAAGCTTGGATCATAGGTTACAGTGATTACTTTTATAGATGGCAAGGGAGACAGAGTGACAGGGCTGTGGTGAACTGTGCATGACAACAATCAGGGTGACGTGTTTGTTTGTCCTGTAAGGCTCAGGTAACATTGCACCACACTGCAACTCAAGTTGGGTATTGCGTAAGCTTCAACCCAGCGTGTGAAATAGTCACTGGCGACTAGGATGTGGGTATTGCCGGCAGCTGACTTGGGGAACGGGCCCATGATGTCAATAGTGACCGCCTGTAGTGGACAGCCAGCTTTAATGTTCTGTAGAGGAGCCCGAGCTTTTGTCGGTGGGTCTTTGCGTGAAGAGCATAGTGTACAGGAGCGGCACGAGTCTGCGATGTCAGTGTAGTGGCCAGGCCAGTAGGATATCTCTTTCAAGCATGAGAGCGTCTTTTCCATGCCCAAGTGACCACCACCAACTCCTTCACGAAGTAGCTCGAGTACCTGTTTCTTGGGAATGATTTGTTGTGCCAGTACGGTAGTTTCGTCAGCATCACTCAAGCTGGTCCAAAATTTGTAGAAGACGTGTAGTCTTCCGACTTGTTGCACCAAGCTCTCCTAAACTTGGTTTGCATCCTTTCTCCTTTCCTTGCAGAAGTGGGCCAACCATTGGATCTGTTTGCTGGGCTCTCCACAGGTCTTCAGCAGGGTGGGTAGAACTTTATTTTCCCTCACATGCCGTATAAAAATACAAAATCAATCACCAGGTGTAATCAAGATATTCGGAATGAGTAGATGTCCTTTATTTTCTCTCACATGCCGTATAAAAGTACGAAAGCAATCACTGGGTGTAATCAAGGTGTTCCGAATGAGTAGCTGTGCTTTATTTTCTCTCACATGCCGTATAAAAGTACGAAAGCAATTACCAGGTGTAATCAAGGTATTCCGAATGAGTAGCTGTGCTTTATTTTCCCTCACATGCCGTATAAAAGTACAAAAGCAATCACAAGGTGTAATCAGGGTATTCCGAATGAGTAGATGTCCTTTATTTTCCCTCACATGCCGCGACTACTGCTAGCTAGCTACAGATTCTGGGCGTCAGCAGCAGTATCTGAAGGTAACGATGCAAAACTTACGGTTAGCAGCACGGCGGACCGTTCGACAACCACCTCGCGCGGGGTGCTCGTGTGGCTGGAATGCATGTTGATGTTCGGTGTGTTGTCTTATTCTCTTCTGTTTTTCTCTCGCCGTTTGTAGATGTCTCACACCTGCGCACTGCCCAGTTGGGATGTGGAGGCTAGCTGCCTCACGTGTCAACAACCAATCGATCCCGAACCGGCCATCGTCCTCGTCTATACGATGAGCCAACACATCGGGCTCTCGCCCTGCCGGGTGCTCCTGTGGCCCAGCATGCGGTGCACCCACACATCTCCGCCATTGAGCTGAAGCTCTTCATACTGGAGTACGCCTGCAGGGAGGCCAAGTTAACATATTCAGCCCATGCGGTCACGAAGTAGACCACCCCCATTGTATCACCCAGGGATACTGAGGGGAGGCAATATGCGGAAGTTGTGAAGTCTCTCCTGGAGATGTTCACCAGGCGCCTCCCGGGGCAATGTACCCCAGTCTCCAACTGGTCCCTGGCTCTGTACAGGGTGCTGGGTTGAACCCGATAGGGCACGTGTCTTCCGGAGCACTAACGCTGAGGAGCTACAAGAACTGGGTGCTTTTGCACCCTGACTGCCAGGACCACCAAGACAATTATGTACATCTTTCTGAACTCTGAACCAGGTGTTTATGCAGAAAGTGGAATGAATGTTGTTATGATGTAAACCAAGTTTCTTGCTAGCATGGAATCCTGTGTGTGTGTGGGGGGGGGATAGATGTGAAGGTCAAGTAGAGCAACACCTATATATGTAGGGGTAGGGAAGAAGTATAGACCAGACACATACTGCAATGTTAGGGTATACAGTATACCAGGGAAAGGAGACCAGAGAGAGAATGGCGAAAGACGGTATATAAAGGAACCACCTTTACCACAGCAACAGCCACAGTGTAGTCAAAACCCCAAGGTGTATGGCTACAGTGACATTGTCAATGAGTTCTGTAGGCTACAGAATTGAGAAACTAAAGAGTATCATGCCTGGACTTCCACAAAATTGGCCTGGTAGTGTTCTATATAGTAGAGTCTCACTACCTCTATTACATAAGAGCATCCAAGCCAGCACATGATCTAAGTTGGCCTCAGAATTTCCTACACAATAGGGGAGTCTCGATGCATTTTATGTCACACAGAGCATAGGGGTAGTATAGACAGTTCTTGAGTGATGCAGTGATGTGTGAGCTGGACGGGCATGGAGCAGCTACTGATACTCTCTATCCGCTGTCAAGTGCAAAGTATTCGGTGAAACGCTCCAATTTTACTGCTCTATACGTCCAAAACAAACAGTTCACGTACCTGAAGCTCAGAATTACCATTCCATTACTATCACTGGCCTGCATTCCTCTGCACGAAAAATGACACTGCTCCAGCAGACGCTGCAAGTAGTATCCCAGAATTTCAACATCAAACACAAAATGAACACATTATTATGACATGTATACCCAGGATAATATTACAACATTTAGAAATTTGGTAATGAGGGAAGATTATTTCCAGTAGCAACGTCATGAGAAAGACCAATCCTATGAACAAAAGGTATGTCGTAGCACGAACACTGTTCCCAACCACCACAGTACATCACCTAGTGGTTTCTTCAGATGGAATTTCTTGTGTATTTGTAATAATTATGACAAACAATACTATAATTACTTGGGCACTTCTTTTTTATTTTCTCCTGCTTTCAAGCTTTTTCTCTAGCTAACCTCGTTACAGCTAAGTGGTGGAGCCATCACCAGAGTGATCTGTGTTTCACGTCATTGTGGGGCCATTGCCGTACCATTGCCACAGAACTGAGCACTGTGGGGGCATTTACCCGTTGCTGCATTAAAACTTCGCATAGGTAGGTTTCAAGTTGCAAAGGAGGACACTGAACAAAGGCAGTGGTTATAAGAAAGTAAAACGAAAAAATTGGCATCCCAAGACAGCGGTTAGAGACAGCTGTTTCGAGCTTGTTGGCTCTCATCAGTTGGAAGTAGCCACAACATATACCTATCTGACATCCTGCTGCTAGGGCGAGAGAGACTTAGGTTTCATGCATTGATGAAGGACGGAACCAGAGGAGCATCTGGTGGTTCTGTAAAGTAAGACCAATAAATTGCCATATATACCACAAACACACACAAAACACACACACAGGCCTGAAGAAAGGAACCACATGCACCCACATCAACTGCATGTCACACAGCAACAAACTGTGACACCACGAGGGCCCATCATGGGAAGTCTCAATTTATAAACACACAGATGACTGCCCTACAATGTCTTCTATTCGCAAGGAGGGAGTTGTAAACCAAAAAAACTGTGTGCAACTTCCTCCCAAGTGACACTACGAGGAGGTTGAAAGCCCATCATGAGACAGTCTCATACACAGATGACTGCCCTACAATGTCGTCACTCACAAGTGGATTCACACCGCACAAATATTTTGCCTATATATAGAAAGTTATCCGTGCCAGGGTTTAATGTATGAGTTGTATGGTTCTGTCCAGGCAGTGTGAATCCACCGTGAAGAGTGGATGTTATTAGGTACCCACTTACAGGTCAGTGACAGTTCCGCACATAAAAATGTGCAAAAGGGACAAAGAGGGTGTATTTTCACTGTCAACTTTGTTACCTGCTAGTTGGTACAATACACATTATCCCATTGGACATCCACTCTTCAAAACATACAATAATGCCAGTGTCCAACAAGAATGTGGACTTACATACAAACAGCTGAGGGATTTTGGATGAGTGTGGAGATCTCCAAGTAACAACTGACTCAGGTGCAAACATAACCTGAGCATGGAGATCGATCCTAGCAACAGCTCACTCTGGTTCACACATAGCCTGAGTGTGGAGTTCTCCTAGCAACAACTTGCTCAGGTTTGAACACAGAAAACCATTTTACACATAACATTCATGGGGAGCGAGCACAGTGCATGGCCTTTGAACTGTTTTTATTTTAAAACCTTCTTTCATCCTAAACAACTCAGTCAAAGTTTCTCACTGCATTCGCTAACCATTCATTTTACATTGGAAAATCACATTGCTCAATCAACCCGAGTGTGGAGATCTCCTAGCAACAGATCACTCAGGTGCAAACATACCTGAGCGTGGAGATCTCCTAGAAACAACTCACTCAGGTTCACACATAACCCGCGTGCGGAGAAACTTCTAACAGCAACTCACTCGGGCACATATGTACCTAGTGTGGAGAAACTTTCAGCAAACAGACACCCACACTACTGTATATGCTGATTCGCCACTGGTAACGGGTAGGTAGGTGTCTTCACACACCTTTTGCACTCCCAGTGGACCTCGGATTCTCCAAACACCTCGCTGGGAATGTCCATGCAGTGGTGGTGATACCAGATGTGGCAGGAATCACACTTGGCCATCTCATCACCTTCCTCTTCCGGCATGCGACACGAACAGTGGAGCTCCACTGTCTTTGGCTTTCTCGGGACACTCTCTCTCTCGCCCAACACAGGAAAACGAGAAACCTGGCAATTCTCAAGACAAGTTATCAGATGTGGCCTGATCTTACTGTGATCAAACCTAACACTGCAAGGGTTCAAGCCACTGCATATGTCAAATGCATAGGCTATGGCCAGAACCCCGCAGTCGGAACCATTGGACTGTTTCTCAACGTCCATCATTACAACTTTTAGCTCAGAGCTCGGGACATGGACCATGCTCGTAATCAATCGCACAGTTTCTTTGGACAGAGTCTTGTACAGACTGTCATACACATGGACAACACCACTCTGACAACCAACTGTGGACACAACACACCAGTGGCTGTTCTGACGTGTATGATTTGAACAAATTCCCCAGAGTGGACCTGAAACGCAAACACCTTCTGCAGTGTGGGGGGTTGCAGGCCGGCCATGTCGGGGAAAAACTGAAGCAAGATCATCTGTGCAGCACAGATGATCTTGTCGGTGAGCCACCCTCTCCGAGACAAAACTACATCCCGATCACGACAGCTCAGAGTGTAGGCACCGTTACTTACCCACATTTCTGGGGCCTCGTTTTCTTCTTCAGATGCTGAAGATAGCACAATGCTCTCAGAGGTCTGGGGAACACAGCAATTACAGCGTTCCTGCAGATCTGAGTCATTTGTTACACTGCGGAGCGAGATTCTGGGGGCTTTTCGCCACTCATCGAGTGGAATAGGAGAGCAATCAGTCACAGGAATAAGCTCAGTGCCAGAGAACGAGGTGTTCAGAACACCTTTCGAACAGTAGAGCTGATACCGGCCAGCAAACTCCCCCACAATGCGACAGGGGGCGTGATAAACACCCATCTTCTGCTGTGAATGCAGACATAATCCCCACTTTCATCTCGGGCTTCACGTCCTCTGAAGAGACACTCTCCGAGGGACTTGAGACATGTTCTGGCTCTAATGTACTGGAATCTGCATGTCCTCCTGGGTTACTACGGGCAGGAAACAGAGTACGGCCAGACAGACGGTTCCTGTAACTCAAGGGACAGCCTCTCCTTGTGGGCCCTCCCTTCAGCTCCACACGTACAGGAAACAAGTTCAATTTCTTCTGAGTCTGATGAGTCACCATCTGCGATGTCTTCACCAGACTCAGAGTCAGATATTAATTCCTCCACGGGACTGTCAGAGTGGCCTCTTTTTTGGCATGACCTTTGTGGAAGGGCAGTCTCTGTGGCTAGAGCGTAGGGTGTGCTCGATCCACATGCAGCACCTTCCCCTTCCCCTTGGCGTTTATCTTGCCACGATTACTGCTTTCCCTTTCCCTTTTGGTTCACCCATCATCTACACACCATTTTTTCAACGTCACATCACCA